GGCGGTGAACAGGGTCCGGGAGATCACCTGAAAGAGAGAATGGGGGAAACAGGTGAATGCAAAGAACCACGGTTTGTCTATAGGCTGATGATCAAGCCATCATTTTTACTTTTTCACACAGGGGCTATAACACATAAAGGCAGGATGTGGGGAAGGGGATGACGCAGGAGTGTAGGTGTTCTCAAGGGGAGTACAGATATTTTCCAGAACAGGGTATCGGCTGGGTGAAGGTTCAGGGAACAGGTCACTATGACTCTCTCTGTGATTCACTTGTTTCTTATCTAAGCTGGTACTTTCTACCAAGGCTACCTATCCACAAGGTCTATGACTACTAGTTCTTATCCAGGCTGGTAAATTTCCACCAAGGCTGCCTGTTTACAAGATTGTATAGCTATCTGTTTTAGTGTTTTCCCACAGAGACCAAGACTTTGTGTTAGCATGTATGGCTGACTTAGGCCTTTTGCTGATTTAGGCCGTCACTGTATAAGCAAGGCTGCCCCTGACAGCCCATCAGTTCTTCATGTGCCTTGCTTCTGTGTAGGTCAGAGGATTGTGGATCGCACTTTTAAGAAAATGCTCCCACAGCTGTTAGATGCGACTCTGTTGGCTTCTTGCTACAGCTGGGAATCCTGGTAAGAGCTCTTGGCTTTCAAAGCTCCATGGATTTGGTCTGGGCTGTGGAAGACCTCACAGAAACAGGCCTGGGTTCCAAAGGGGAGATCTCAGGTTTCAGTAGGTCCTGTCAGACAAAACTGGGCTCAGTGGTCTTGTCAGGATTTAGATGGAAGGCCTGAGTCAGGGGACTCTAGGATCTCACTTTTTGGAATCTGTGTGAGACTGGATTATATAGAGAGCATACAGCCTGGGGTCATTCCTTGTTTGGGCTATGAGAGTACGTAGATTTAGAGTTGGCTACCTTGGCTAGACAGAAACATAAAAAGAACCACCAGAGCTTACACTTCTACTTACTGGATCTAGAAATGGGTAAACTCTAACAGGAATGTGGGGTTGCAGACTACAGGGAGTTGATGGTGTGCCTTAAAAATAAAGCATCAGAGATTTTGCAGAAAGAGGGATGCATCTTTTAGTTAGCACACAGGTTGCTAAAGGAATTGATTTTTAAAATTGAGCACTCGGGTCCTTGAGTCTTGGTTAGTCTTAGCATCCTGGAGAAGTATCTTGGGTTTAGCATGGAAGAGGCTTGTCTGTTCTATTGGTGTTAGTGAACCTCAGTCTTGTAGTTAAGGACCCTGAGGCCCTAAGGAGCTACTGAGCTATCTACTCAGTTCTGGAGACATGTCTTGGTTGAAAAAACCTCACCTTCTCTGGAGGAAAGCTCTCACCTGGATCTGGAGAGGGAGTTGAACCCTTGGGCACTTGAACAGTGAAGAGGCAGAAGTCTGGTATCAGCTTTGTCCTCATTTTGGTCCTGTGTCTTACAACACTGTCTTAATCTGCCTGAAATCTGACTCAACAAATACAGATTCAAAAGGGCCAGGGGCCCTGGACTCTGACAAATGACTGAAATGAACCAAATGGTTGGGAAGAAATCGCCCTTGGAATGGATGGTTCTTAATAAACGGGCTCTTGGAGGGATAGAACATGGCTGTCACATGGCTCTCCTGACATGGGGAATCTGTCCTGTAGGAAGAGCTAAATCCCTCCAAGAGTGCAGGGAAGTGAAGGGGACTCAGCCTTGCATTTTGCTGCTGTGCAGGTGTTTTCAGCTCATTATGCGACAGCTGACAGGAGTGGCTTTCCTGAAACCCCAATGACTAAGCTTAGATAATTTAAGCATAAATTGTTGGTAATAAATAGAGCCTAAAAGCATAGGAATCTGTGAAGGATTTTGTCATGGTTTGGGGAACCCCTCTCCTGAGGTGTACTCCTGAGTAGTAGGTGGGTGCTTTTGAGAAATTATGGACCATTTTGAGGTAAAAATACAGAAACTTGTTCCTTGATCATCCTGATTTTGTTGTGGTAGAGGTAGTTAGAAGATGTGATTTTGACTAGGGTTGATCCCCAACTCTGATGATTGGAAAAGGCTGTATGTAAAATTATTCTGAAAAAAGAAAACAGCTGTTTCCAGCTCTCACTGAGAATGTCTGAAATGCCCTGACAGGTCAGAACAGTATGATGGAATGCACTCACTCAGCGGACTTTTGACCAGTCTGCTGCCTCCCATTGATTTGGGGCCAATATGCACTGGCTGTCAACCAAGGTGGGTGGGTGTGATACCAACCCTTCTTGTGGTATCACAGCACAGCATTAAATGTGCAGAATTAGCTCCTGGCTAAAGCTCTACCAAGGATGTGAGGACTCTCCTTACTGTGCTTCATTTGCAGTGGATAATGGTGGGTCATGCTCACGGTGTGTCACCATTTGCTTTCTAAGTTTCATGTTTGGTACAACTGCTACTGAAGACAGGCAGTGGTGCCATATACTTTTAGATCTGGCACTCAGGAGGCAGAGGCAGGTGAATCTCTGGTTCAGGGCCAGCCTAGTCTACAGAGTTCCAGGACAGCCAGGGCTACACACAGAAACTCTGCCTCAAAACCAGCCAGTCAGCCAACCAACCAACCAACCAACCAACCAACCAGCCATCCTACCTAATGAAGGAGCATACTGCTTTTATGTGGCACAAGGAAGCCAGGGGTATTTTTGACACAAAGAGTTTTGTACTGAGGAAACATATTCCTTAAGGTTACAAAATGGTGTCTTAAAAAAAAAAAGAGGAAAACCAAACCACTTACTGCCTAGATTTATTGGCTTTAAACAATCTTGAAAAATCAGAAGTTAGCTCCTACATGAGACCCCACCCCAGCCCTGCCCTGCTTGGTCTGGTCTAGTAAGGATAGTGAGGACCCATGTTGGTTTTTCTGACATAGGAGAAGCTGACTCCGTGTTTGTGTATACAAGTATGTGTAGGCTTCTCCATCTTGTATTTGTGTGTATGGAGTGGGGTGCCATGACTCCCACACGAAAGTCAGAGCATCCGCAGGTATTGGTTCTCATTTGACCATGGGGGTTCCAGGAATTAAACTACAGTTGTCAGGATTGAGAGGATGGCATTACCTGCTTGTCCATTCACTTTGGTGTTTTTGAGACAGGGTCTATCATGTAGGTTGGCTTTCAACTTATAGCTCCAACTGCTTCTGCCTCTTGGGTGCTTTCCACCATATTATTTTGGAGACAGGGTCTCTCACAGAACCTGGAGCTCACCGATCTGGCTGCACCGAGTGGCTACTGACCTCCAGGATCTGTCTGTTCCTTCTGTGCATGTCTGACTGTCCATTGGTGTGCAGTGGCTGCTGCCTTTGCCATGGATGCTGGAGATCTGAACCCAGGCTTCCCAGCTTACAGACAAGCACTTAGCAGCTGCAACTCTAAGATTTCTTTTCCTCAAGCTGTGTGGCTTTGGTAGCTGGCTTTATGAGATGTCTAAACAAATTCCCTAAGGTTAGTTCAAATCTAATCGGCCACAGCAGCCCTTAAAATGTTTTTTCCATGTTAAAGTTTTTGTGTTATGGGTGTTTTGCTCTATGCATGTCTAGGGCCTCAACTCCTCCTTGGTCTGAAGTTAAACAGGTTAAGAGCCAAACTGTGCTAGGAATTGAACCTGGGATCTCTGGAAGAACAGCAAGTGCTCTTACCACTGAGCCACTTCTCCAGTCCATGTAGTAGCCCTTTAATGCGTATATATTTGTATGCCTCAATTGGGGAAACACCACCAGTATTTGAAAAGAGTTCTCCCTAATGTGGTAGCATAGGCCTTTAATCCCAGGACTCAAGTGGCTAAGGAAGGCAGTTGGCTCAGAGTTCTAAGCCTGCTAGTTCCAGTCAGGGCTACAGCGACAGGTAATTCAGTGTGAACTATGTACCAACATGAAGCCCCTGAAGGTACTTGTCCCTTCCTTGTGCTCCGATTGTTTCAAGTTCTGCACCACAGTACCTTTCATTGGAGCAAAGTGAAATGAATTCTAGAAGCACCAGTATAGCGACTGCTCTGAAATAGCTGAGATGATGCTGTTTGGTATGTACACTGTAATCCTCACCTTGTGAAACAAAGTGAGGCTGGGCTAACATGACAAGATCATTTCTCAAAAGAATTAACTTGCCAAAATGAGTTACTGCCAATGTGTATCATCATATCAAGCCCCCAGTCCTGAGACTACCAAAACTTACAGCAGTCTATTCTTACACTGATTCTTAGGTTTCTATTGTGACCAAAAGCATCTTGTGAAGGGGTTCACTTCAGCTTGCAATGCTCAGGCCACATTATCACTGAGGGACAAGAAACCCAAAGGCAAGAGCTGAAGCAGAGGCGAGACTGTGGAGGATGCTCTGACTTGTTTAGCCTTCTTTATATAATTCAAGACGACCTGAATAAGGGTGTCACTGCCCACTGTGGACTGGGCCCCTCATCTCACATCAATTACTATTTTTAAAAAGTATTTGTTTATTTGATTGAGTACATTGTTGCTAATTTCACACACACCAGAAGAGGGACTCAGATCCCATTGCAGATGGTTGTGAGCCACCATGTGGTTGCTGGGAATTGAACTCAGGACCTCTGGAAGAGCAGCCAGTGCTCTTAACCACTGAGCCAACTCTCCAGCCCAAATCTATTAAAGAAGAAATGCCATAAGAGGTGTGTCCCCAGCGAAATCTCATAGAGACATTTTCTCTTAACAGTCTCTTTTCCCAGATGCATCTGTGTCACACTGACAAAAAACATCTGGCACACTGATGGACAGCCCAAGAGGAACTTACAAGAGGAACTCAGGGAACTGCCACCTTCAGTGGGACAGAAATATGTTCTGATGGTAGTCTGTCTTTTGCTTACAGACAAGCAGGAAGGCTACTGTGACAGGAGTAGTTAAGATGGCACTGGGGAACATCTTATTTATGGAGTAAACATTGGAGACATTTCTGATGACAAAACCATTTTCTTGGGTAAATTAGGTAACTGTTAATTATGAAACTGTCATGCCCAGCCATCTGGAAAAGCAGCATTTAATATTATTTTAAGATGAACTGACTTGGTCAAACGTACTGTAGTTAGTTTGAATGGGTGGAACAGATACGGTAAGTCTGTCCTCAAGAGGACTTTGTTTCTTCTTTCTTTTTTTCTGTTTTGTTTTTCAAGACAGGGTTTCTCTTTGTAGCCCTGGTTGTCCTGGAACTCACTCTATAGACCAGGCTGGCCTCGAACTCAGAAATCCGCCTGCCTCTGCCTCCCAAGTGCTGGGATTAAAGGCGTGTGCCACCACTGCCCGGCTCAGTACTTTGTTTCCTATTTCCCCAAATGCTGGTCTGAATTAACAGTGTAGGGCCTAATGCATTGTGCTAGTGCATTTTTTATTTGGTCCCCAAAAGACTGCTCTAAAGCCCATGCCCATGAAGTTAACATTAGGGCCTCAGTTTAGGTCTGCAGCTTACAACTGAAAGGTCCCTTTGGATTCCTGGAATCACACAGCTGCTGGAGACTAAGACTAAGCTAAGGCCTAGAAGGGAAGTTTCCTTAGATCCTGACAGCTTTTCTCAGATATTAGTTCAAACCCACCCGAGACTCATGCCTTATGCTTTCACTTGATGGGATCATGCTGCAGTTAGACTCCTTCAAGCACTGTGGCTACTTGATTCCACTTTACTACAGATGCATGGTTACTTGCTGAGTGTGTGCACTTGCTAATCTTACCGATGTGTAGACTGGGTGCCGTACTGACTGAGTGCTAAGGAGGTTAGCAGGCTACATCGCAGACCCCTCTGTCTGGTACTCACCAGGCATCTCCTCTAGACTATTTACACACAGCTATCTGCTGAATGCTAAGGGATCTTTCCTTTTGACTGGAATAAGAATGTAAGGTACCGCTAATAATGTGTGGAGGGCACAAACTAGGGTGATGGTGCTCTGCTTGGTAAACATGTGAACCAAAGGGGGAGCTTGTTCAAGTTTCCTGAGGCTGTGAATTCCACTTGCAATGGGCACAGGTAAGTTCTATGTGTGAAACACGGGTCAGATCACACTGCTGGAGGCATCCAATTTCTCTGTCTGTGAGCAAACAGTTCTGTACTAAAATTTTCCCTTTTAGCACTGGCAAAGACTTTTTTTATTATTATTAAGTAAAAGTGTATTGTATCCCATGCATGTAGCCCCTGGAAGCCAGAAGAGGAGATTGGCTCCCCGGGAACTGGATGGTTGTGAGCTACAATGTGGGTGCTAGGAACCAAATGTTGATCCTCTCTCTGTAAGAGAAACAGTGCTCTTAACCAGCAGGCCATCCATTACGAACCCCCAGCCCATTAGCAAACAGACATTAATGACAGTGGGGAACTGGTTCTTCCATTCTCTTACATGCAGAGGTGGCAAGAGGAAGCTGCAGTGGACTTTCTACACTGACTGCTGAGTGGAATGAACTAGAACTCCTGCTCCATTGAAAGATCCAGTTTCATGGCACTGGAGGAGGTAAGCAGCTAACAGTAGATGTATATGACTGATCTCACTGAATTAAAAGAATTAAGCAGTCTAGACCGAGGAATCTCAAAGGTGGTGGCTGCCAAACGAATACCATTCTCAAGGAAAGCTTTAAAAAGAGCTCATTACAGCACCGATGCAGTGACTACAAGTCAGAGACCATGATATGATGCTCCAGAGTCTGCCTCTCACTGACCCGATGCAGGGCCCTGAGAGCCGGTGTTTGAAGCCAGCCACTTTTGGGATACCTCCCATTTTCAATGTCTTCTCACTCAACAGGAAGCCTATTCAAATAAGCTTCCCAGGCAGCTTTTCTGTACATTTCAGCTGCTTCCAGGCGGTTAACTGCTGCAAGTATTCCCCGGCCTACAATGATGACATCAGAACCGCGTTTACCAATCACTTCTTGTGGACTATTGTACTGCTGGCCAAGATGATCTCCTGTGGAGAAACAAAAGCAAACTCAGGAAGCCTGTGGGCAACACAGGAGTAGTCCAGAGAGCATTTACTATATAATGCACCTTGTTATTCATAACTGTTTCTACAACAATCCCATTGAGTTCTCAGTCCCTAATCCTTTGTTTTTGGAAACAATGTAAACTAAGCTGGCTTTGAACTCAGAAATCTGTCTGTCCCCCCAATTCCAGTATTAAAGGCACCTGGAAAATTAAAGGCACCTGGAAAATGAGATTTTATTAACAATATCTGTTGTTCTAGAAACATGTTAAATGGATTTTGATGCTTTTAATTCTCAAAAGCCTAGGTCCTAATGTTCTATCCAGTGAAAGAATTAAATGCAGCTTGTTTTGTGCTGAGGTACTATGCTATATAGATATAATATTCACAGCCTCTCCATGCCTTCCCACTAGTTTGACACTGTATATCCCTACACTTTACAGATGAAGAAGACAAGACTAAAAGTAGTTTACTCTGAGGCTGGGTATGGGTTGGGTAATGCACACCTTTAATTGCAGCACTTGGGAGGCCGATGCAGGCGGATCTCTAAGTTTGAGGCCAGCCTGGTCTACACAATAAGTTCTAGGCCAGCCAGAGCTAAAACAGAGAAATCCTATCTCAAAAAAAGTTGTTTAATGTTGGGTCTGGAGCTCAGTGTTAAGAGAACTTGCCTACTATGTGCAAGGCTTCACTTTAGTCAGCTGAGATTGGTGGCATATGCACTCAGGTCTTTGAGGCCAGCCTAAACTACACAAGAAAAAAGGCCAGGTGTGGTTGTGCACACCTTTCATCCCAGCAATAGGGATACAGGAGGATCTCTTGAGTTCAAGCCAGTCTGGTCTACTTAAAGACTTCCAGGACAAAATAGAGATCTTGTCTAAAACAAAACCAGGATACACAGAATGGAAAGGCAAAGAACTCAAATCTTTTCAATTGCAGTTTAAAAAGTAACTGAGAGTCGTTGACTTCCGAAGCCACTTAGTCTCTGAAGATCTAGCTACTCTATAATGTGTAAAATTTGAAACTGTTTAAAGTAACAAACAAACAAACAAAAAAGGAGTATTCATCTTGAAAGACCTTCTGATCTAGAACAGATTCCTAGAAATACTCAACAGACATAAAATACTACCAGCCGAGCTACACGTCTGAGCAATGACCAATCCACCTCTAGGGAACTGGTCGTTACCAGGACAGTCAGTTTCGTTGGCAGGCAGGGGTGAGGTACTGAAAACTAAACCTAGAGCCTCGTGTCAGCTAAGCACACACTATTTAGAACCACACCCAGCCCTTACCCGTGCCTGTTTTACATCCTGCCTTGCTCCTTTACAACTGCATTTGAGGTGGTTGCAAGTTTAAGAACCCCAGCCAGGCACTGGCACATCAAAATGTCTGATAATCATCTAACTGTTTAGCTAAGGGTTTTCCAGACCTGCTGGAACACACAATGCTTCCTTTGGGTGGTATACTCAGAGCACCAAATAGGAAATGCTAACCCAAAATATCAGGTTTCTAGCCAGAATGATGGCACATGCCTTTAGCCCCAACATTTGGGAGGCAGAGTTAAATTAAGCAGATATCTCCATGTTCCATCTCAAAAGTAGCCTTCTATCCTAAAATTAAACTGTCTTACATAGTACACACTATTACCAGGTCAAAAGGCTCATTGTTCATTCAGATCAGTGGTTCTCAACCTTTCTAATGCTAAAAATAGTGACCCCACCCCCAGCCATAAAATTATTTCATTGCTACTCCATAACTGACATGTGACCCCGCAAAAGGGGTTGGACCCACAGGTTGAGAACTGCTGTTCTAGACTAAGACAGTTTACAATCTAGACCACCACAGTTTACAATGTGTTATTCTGCCTGTCGTGGATAAGGAATCGAGTTTGGAAGAGCCATAGCTAGTGAACATACGTACCTCCTGTTTCTAACTGAACTCCTGGGGTCAAGTGAAGAAACTCTGGTTTCATGCTTACTCGAGAGCCAGAAATAAAGCCAATGACAAAGTCACAGTGCTCCTCAGCCATCCCAACCTAAATGGGACACAGTGGGCAGTATTATAAGAACAGAGTAATATAACTAAGGTCCTGAGATGATCCCTTTGTCCAAGGAGCCATGCTTGAAAAGATCAGAACTCTGACAGAGCAAGCATCAGACAAGATGCTGCATAGTTCTTCCTTGTAACAATGCCTGATGACTTACCTAGTTGGAAGGATTTGAGATGTGTACCATCATAGACAAAATGGCCACACCTTCAAGACCTAAGCAACACTCTTCCAGCACTTTCCCTCTGGCACCTGCTCTTCACTGGCCTCATTCCCATACTACTTCCTCACGGGCATACGTCAGCCTTGCCACCAGCTACTACCACCAAAAGGGACAGCTTGACCTTGAGCTAGACCTTTGCTTTTGACATGGGACGCTGGTATTTATGGTCCATTCAGGCTTTACTATAGAGGGCTAGATAGAGATAGCTGGCTCAGCAGTTAAGAGTACTGCTTGCACTTGGGAGGCAGAGGCAGAAGGATTTCTGAGTTTGAGAGTTCGAGGCTAGCCTGGTCTACAGAGTGAGTTCCAGGACAGCCAGGGCTACACAGAGAAACCCTGTCTCGAAAAACCAAACCAAAAAAAAAAAAAAAAAAAAAGAGTACTGCTTGCTCTTCTAGGACCCAAGTTCAATTCCAAGCACCCACATGGTGGCTCACAACCATCTGTAACTTCAGTTCCAGGGACTCCAATGCCCTGTACTGGCTTCTGTAGGCACTAGGAATGCATGTGGTGCATAGACACACAGACAAAACACTGTATAAAAACATTATTATGGTCCTTAAAGTATAAATATCATCTATTCACTTTCTAGATGACTATGTAACTAGAAAATTTACCACAGGAAAACATGAAGAGCAACTTAAAATTCAACTTTTATCTTCAGCTTTGCCTCAAGATGAAAAAACAAATGCAGGAATATGTCCAAATGGGCTGGAGTACAATTCAAACCCTTTACCTGCTACAAGATCAAAATGTTCAACTGGTGCTAATAAACTGTCAGAAGAGCTGGACTGAGGAGGCTGTGGGGTGAGGCCATGGCTGCCTTGGGCCTGAGATGAAGGTACTTTCTTGCCCTAGAACATCCGCACACACAGACCTGTCTCCTCTCCCCCAGCCCCAGCACTTACTGCTGCCTTGGTGTAGTTTCCCGTGGCCAAGGAGCCAGCAGAGCTCATTTCTGCAATGAGCAGGCACGCTCGATGTAAAGGCAGGCCCACTTCCTGTAGGCCTTTCACAACTCCTGAGCCTGGCACCACGTGGGCATTTACTACATCTGCCCAGGAAGCTATTTTAAAGATGCCACCTGAAAAGAAATAAAAAAGATGTTTGCTAGTTTTCAGAGATAAAACAATAATCTTTTTCCCAACCAACTGCGGTATGAAATGATCTTCTACTAACAACTTAGAATCAGCACTTTATCAGTAGACCTGTGGGTCCCTCTTGTAGCTGAGAGAGCACAGTGAGGGAAACTCCCCTTGCAAAGAGTGCTGCACTTGGTTTATCAGGAACACGGACGAGCTGTTACTTTTCTTGCAGATTTAGACCACTGATCGCCTATGCCATTACACAGGAACTGCTCTGAAGATGGACATTCACAGAACTCAGGCGGCACGACATCCTGAAATTCTCCTGAAGACGAGATGTTCCACCCTAGAGATCTCTCAGCAACTTTACCCCTACAGGTTTTCTTGGCTATCCCATTCTTACAGGCAACTATATACATTTTTAACAGACAGTAAAAATGCAGACTATTGAAAAATGAACACACAAGCATAAAGAGAGGTTATACTTCAGCCAGTAAGCTAAGCAATGTAGCCCTGGTAGGCCATGATTATTAGTACATGAGGTAACAGATAATTCTACTTGAAAGAAAAAATTAGGTGCAGGTATGCACTAAAAAAGAAATCATGTGGCTACTTATCTGTTCTACGGAGTAGTGAAACAGCATCAGACTACACAGTACAAACTATGATTACTTGTTTCTAAGGGCAGAAATCTGCATGAGAAAGCAGGTACAAGACTAAGCAGTTCCCAGGCCACCTATAGGCTCCTCTGCCTGTCTGACATTAAAACTTAAATGGGAAAAAGTGTATCAACACATTCTGCTAAGCAGTACTTTATACTTCTTTTCTATTCTTTGCTATATTGGCAATTTTCAGCCAGCGCCGATACATTTTGTTTTGCCGGCCCAGAACCCAGACACCTTCTGATAGCAGCTCGCCCATTTTCTTTATGGGAGTTAACAGAATTCTCAGTCCATGATGGTTAGAGTTTGACCTTGTAGTGGTAAGAGTAGTTGTATTCCCCAGGCCAGCTAATAAAGGGAGTTTACACAGAGGTTAGAGTGAGGCGTGGAATTCCCTACCCGAGAAACAAGTCAACAAAGAAAACAGAATGGAGAATACAGCTGAGACATGGAGAGACGGCAGGCAGCTCAGTGCCCAACAGCTCTTTCTACTGCTGACTCTTACATGAGCCAGTACACCTTCCCTTCAGCCAGTCTATCTCTGACTGCACTTACTTTCATACTGCTTTTTAACTGTGTTTCCTATATCAGCAAATTTCCTGTCTTCAAATATTAAGAACTCATGGCGTTTTGCCAGAGCTGTCAACTCTTCCATCACATCCAGAGTAAAATCATTCAGAATATCGACATGAGTTTTGAGCATGCAGATGCTGGGTCCCAACGCATCTGCTAGCTGCAGCAGCTCTCTGGCCTCTGACACATCAGCAGACAGACACAGATTGGTCTCCTTCTTCTGCATAAGCCTGAGAAGTTTTGAGGCAAGTGGGTGGATTCCAGGCAGCTCTGCTCGAGCACCAAAGCTGAGCTCTTTGCATGCTTTCTTCTCAGGAGGTGGAAAACCATTATGATTAGCTGATGAAAAAACATTCTCCTGAATGAACCTCTTCACTTTCCCTACCATCTCAGCGTCAATTTTTTTCTGCTGCTCGAGAATCTCCAGCATTTGGGACAACGTGCACACTGAGTGGAGACGGATCCCCTGGGCCTGCAGCTTGTCCTTGCCTCCCTGCTCTCTGTCCAGCAGCACTATGGCATCAGTCACCTTTAGACCCTCCTTCTGAAGAACTTCAACAGTCTCCAAAACACTGGCCCCACTGGTGACGACATCCTCAATGACCAGACAGGTCTGCCCAGGATTAATCTCTCCTTCTACAAGGCGCTTGGTACCTAGAAAAGAAAAGCTTCTGTTGAAAAAATATGTAAGATAGTTCAACTAGCACAAGATGTATCCAGAGTCTACCCTTGCTATGAATGTATAAAGAGTTAAGACTATTTAAAGCTTTTTTGTGATCATTTACTTGAAGCTACTTTCTGTTAATCAATGCGCCGCAACTGTTTTGTTCACTCTCCCCTGTATCTCCAAAATATTAAATGCAGAATAGTTATAGTAAGACAAATTATTTCACTGTGTAAGTAAAACTCATTGTTTTCCCTGAACAATTTGGAGTTTCTTAAAGCAAAATCACTTATACAGTAATAAAAGACAGAATACTCCAGTATCATCAATAAAATCATTCCCTTCCCATCTATACTGATTATAAATTTACTACTCACGACCAACTGAACAATTTGCTTTTTAAAAAAAAGCAATTTAAAGCCAGGTGGCACACACCTGTTATCTTTGTACTTAGGAGGTGGAAACTGTGAGGCTCTGGCGGCCCTCCTATCAGCCCAGGCCATGCAGGCTAGTCAGAGAGCTACAGCAAGACCCTGCCTCAAACAAACAAACAAACAAACAAACAAACAAACAGGGGTTAGGGAAAAGGCCCAGTGGATTAAGATCACTGCTGCTCTTGCAGAGAACCAAGTTCAGTTCCCAGTACCCAGAGGGCAGCTCACAACTCTAACTACAGTTCCAGGGACTCTAATGCCCTCTAATAGCCTCTGCTGGCACTGCATGCATGTGGCACACATACATACATGCAGGTAAAACACTCATACTCAAACTAAATTCAGATGGGAAACATTTCACAACTTCCTGCACACCATAACCACACTGAATTATCCAATGTGACTTCTCCAGCCTTAAGACCCACTATAATCTACAAAATATGAGTAACTCAGGCTCTAGACTTCATATTCATTTTTTGAGACTCAATTTTGTATTTTCTACTGTATTAATGATTTTGGTAGACAGTTTAGGTTTGTGGGGGGCTTACTGGAGGAATCGCATAGCTTAACTAAATCTGCTTAGACTGAAATAAGACAGAGCACTCACAGGCACGCTGATAATGAGTTTCGTGAACATTTGTGAACACACAAGGAAACAGAACTACATTCCTATGGGCAGATTATTTTTAGCTTCAAACTATCATAATAAACTCACCACTCAGTGACGCTTGGCCAGTATTTATATCTTATTCCTCCCCCACCATGCTATGGCTGTGGAGAGGTCAAAGGGTGGCCTGCAGCAGTGGGGTCTCTCCTTCCACCACATGGGATGCAGCGCCCAAACTCGGGTGAGAGTTAGCACAGGCTCCTCTACCCACTGAGTTATCTCACTGTCCTCTCTCAAGTCTCAGACGCAAACCCAAGACACTACATAGTTTATCTTAAAAGATCTCTTTTAAAAAACAAAGCACCACCATGCCAGTATAAACAAAAATCCTGTTAATTCTCTAATATCATTAAGTAACAACTCAGCCCTTATATTTTTAGATTGATTTTCAAGTTTTAAAGCAAACACACCTGACACAGACCCCCCAACAAAAAAAGTGCTCCCAAGGTGTCTATGTAGGTTTCCTAAGAGGGCTCTTACTCTTCATGACTGCATGCATTTGAATGTAAGTATACCTAGAAGTATATGTCCCTAGAACATTCTGCTGATGAAGGAAGGGCCAATACAAAGGTTGGGGTTCACCAAGCACTTTGTTTCTACTGCCCAGTCAACAGAAAGAACATTTCAGACCCAGACTATATGGGAAGGTCTTCTGTAGCAAGAAAGAGTCAGCAACTCAACATCTGACCAGGCCTCTGAAACGCATTCAATAGTTCTAGTAAACACCAGGGCCCAAAAGAGAACAAACTCCTAACAGGTTACATATTAACTTGAGGCTTATGCTATTTTTATTTTACCATAATCTTTTGTTTCCTTCCTCCTAATGAGCATGGGAATGTGGTTGGCTGAGCAGATAACTGTCGCTAGTGGTAACGCTGTATAAGGAACTCCACACACACTGTCAAAACTGATCCCGACATTTTTGGCAGTTTGGAATAAAATGTCTGCGACCTGTAAGAAAAGGAACACACATACTTTCCATTATTACTACTTCAAATGATATACAAATCATGCAACAACCTAACAGAAATGGAAATACATGCCCCCAGGAGATTTTTAAAATTAAATCCTAAGATATAAATGGATTATTCATAACAATTTACTATTTGAGTATCTAAACTCAGGAGAGAAAATATCAAGCAACTGATTTAGACCCATCACAACAATCTTAAACCCTGGTATGCAAACATAAACACCATGAGCCTGCTCCGCCAGTCAGGACCTACACTGAGGACCCACACTGATGCTGCACACTGAAGACCACAGATGCTTCCCAGAATTCCATTATGCCTGAACCTCCAGGATCACAGCTGGTTCAATGAAGGCTCTCCTAAGTCTAGAGCCTATTGTGTAAAATATATTTTATCTTTTCCACAGAAATCATTTTTTTCAAGGGTGGGGAATGATGTCCAAGACGGTTTCTCTGTATAGCTCTGGCTGTCCTAGTACTTGCTCTGCAGACCAGGCTGGCCTCAAACTTAGAGTTCCACCTGCCTCTGCCTCCTAAGCACCGCGACTGAAGGCATATACCACTTCCACCAAATCAATCATATTTTAATGTTAGAATGCATACTCACATCCAACGCTACCTCACTTTAAAATACAAATTTAAAGGCTCACAGTTGCTTTGTAAGCCAGGTTAGCTCTTTAAAATACTTATGTCTTGTACAGCTATCACTTACTCTTGGGATGGGTAGGAATAAGAACTTTTTTTTAGATTTATTTTATGTATATGAGTAAACTGTAGCTCATCTTCAGACTGTAGCTGTCTTCCAACACACCTGAAGAGGGCATCGGATTTCATCATAGATAGTTGTGAGCCACTGTGTGGTTGCTTAGAATTGAACTCAGGTCCTCTGGAAGAGCAGTCAGTGCTCTTAACCACTGAGACATCCCTTCAGCCATCTATTTTTGAGGTTTTGAAGTGTCAAAACTGGCCTCAAACTCGTGCTGATGTTCCTGCCTCATCAGCCTCCCAGGTGCTGGGATTATGGGCATGCTCTACTCTAGCGTCTTCTGTACTTTGAAAAGCTTGTGACTATTTTTAAGCTGCAGAGTGTGTAATTTCTAATACTAAAATCATAAACATCCCCAGAACTGTTATAACATTATCTGTAAGGAATGTGGAGAGAAGGCAGATACTAGGATAGAGATAGAGATATCAGTTCAGTGATAGAGAGCTTTGCCTGGTGTACTTACAGCCCGGGACCCAATCCCCAGTAACATACAGTCACTGACAGACAGACAGGTGCGCGCGCACACACACACACACACACACACACACACACACACACACACACATTTCTTCCTGCAGGCTTTTACTGATCCGTCATGCTTCTTTACATGCACCTAAGCCAAGATGTATAGTAACTGAAATTTAAGATTACCAAGTTAAATAAATTTCATGATCTTACATTGGCTAGACACTCTTCTGGATTCTCACTGACATGAGCACATACCTAAAACATAAACCTATAAATCATACAAGTATAAGAGGAGATTTGGGAATTTCTATTTTAGTGAGATAAATACTATAGTTTCCTCCAATAGTTTATGTGTATATACAACCAGTCGATTACTACTTATTTCTAGGAAGTTAGGAACATATAATCTATTGCTTTTGGGGTACATGTTCGGTATTGAGAACACCTATTTACATAAACCTCTTTAAAATTTTAATTAGACAGTTCTTGGTAATACAGTTCCTAATCACAGTAAGATTCCGGGTGGTGGAAAGCTAACAGTTCAAGACAAATCAACTAGGGTTTCAGTCTCCTTACAATTAGGCATAACTGGTACCCAAGAAACAAACCTGAAGTATGTGACAGGAACTGTACATTGTTGGGGGGAGAGGGGCTGGATTTTGGAAACAAGGTCTCCCTCTGTAAGCCAGGCTGACCTCAAACACAATTCTCCTGCTTCAGTTTCCTGAATGTAGGAATTATAGCTGTGCACCACCATACCTGGCTACGTATGTCTTGATATTCTACAGTTACACTAACCAACAAAGTGGCCACTAGTAACTTTTAACTATTCCATTAGTTTGTTTGCTCTTGAGACAAATTCTCGTGTAGCCCAGGCTGGCCTAGAGCCGACTATGCCTCGGGACTGTGATGACCTTTAACTCCTGCCTCCAGCCCCAGTGCTTTATTAAGAATCCTGGCAGGCACACTGGCTCATCTGGTAAAGGTGTTTTCTGCCTAGCCTGACCACCTGAGTTCTATCCCTTCAACCCTCAAGATAGAGTGAGAGAACACACTCCTGCAAGTTGTCTTTGACCTACGAAAGTGTACCAAGGCGCACTCACACCAGCGCGCACGCCCACACACACCCCCAAGATAAACGGAATAAAAACTTCACAATGCTCAATATTCACACGGAGTTGCTAGCAACACTTCCAGTCAGTTCCAACCTTTTATTCTAAATGCCATCTGCATGCAGTTTGGCTGGCAGCTTCTTATGCGAGAAAGCAGTATCTCATGGCCGACTTCCAGGGACTCAAATACAACCGACTCGAGGTTTGAGAAGCACCGGGTTAGAAACCTCTAGGTAAGCCGGGCGGTGGTGGCGCACGCCTTTAATCCCAGCACTTGGGAGGCAGAGGCAGAGGCAGAGGCAGACGGATTTCTGAGTTCGAGAGTTCGAGGCTAGCCTGGTCTACAGAGTGAGTTCCAGGACAGCCAGGGCTACACAGAGAAACCCTGTCTCGAAAAAACAAACAAACAAAAAAAAAAAAAAAAAAAAGAAAGAAAAGACATCTCTAGGTATACCTTTACCAACCAAAAAAAGCTGCCTTTCTGGTATTCGCCATATGGCTTTAATTTCTTGCTATTGGCCATGTACTATTAAGTTGAGTCCTCTGACCAGCTACTAATTTCTCCGCCCTCCCGCCTTTTCCTCCCTAATTGTCACTTTCTGAGAGTTAAGTACGCAGAACTCATTCAAGGACTTCTCCGCTGGTCAGAGCCCAACAAGATATCCTGACTCTTGCAAAGCACGTGTCTATACCGATCGGACAAGAAACAAGGTACCAAAGAACCCGAAGCCTCCCGCTCTCCAAGCTGCTCCACACTCTCCAGACCAGCAATAGGGTGGGCTTGCCTGCCTGGTCTGTGGCTCTCCCTCGGCCCCAATTCCGGCCACCCCCGCCATCTCCTGCTCTCCTTTCCCGCCACCCGAAGCCATCCCGTCCCTCCGGGCTGGTACCTGACTGAGAAGACGCGGGCGTGACACGATGCCCCGCAGGTCGATATAGACTGGGGAGGAGAGCCCGCTTTTCAGTACAAAGCTCCCGAACTTGAAAGCCTGTACGTCATACAGCTCGGTGACCAAGGGGCCCAGGGCTGGGCGGGAGACCTCCATTCTCGCGCGCTCAGTTAGCTCTGGAAGCCGAGGGGCTTGGAGCCCGTGACGTCATCAGAAGCCCCGCCTCTTCCGCCATCCTTTCCGGCCTGGGCCGCGGGCTTCTTTGTGTGTGCTAGCTGTTTCCTGGTTGGAGAGTTAGGTTTTAAAACTTGTAAATAAGATTGAAGCCTGATTTCTGCGAAGGAGTCAATAGGCTCCGTTAATTTTGGTTTTGTTTTGATTATAGCTTAGCGCTTCTTTATCTGATACAGTCACTGTTAACAGCCACTCCGTACTCTCTCAGGGTTTCTTTCCATAAAATAGAAATCCACCAAGACAGAACCTGTGACTACCTTCTTGTATTAACTTCACAGCAGTTGGCGTGGGAGAGTTTCACAGTAATTTGCACATAGAAATATAAAGCAGGTCATTGTGCACTCAGAGGCTGATAAAGAAACGTGCTTACTTCCTTTAGACCACTTGAAGTGTACAGGATGAAGAAGGGTGGGACGAGTTAGGTATCAGGAAGGATAATGTTGGGCAGTTTGAAAACCCAAACATATTTGATTTACAAATCTCGTAGCTGGTTATGTGAACTCCTGTAGTCCTAGGTACTTAGGAATTGATGCAGGAGGAGTCCAAGTTCAAGGTTGACCTAGGTATCTAGTGAGCCTGTGTCAATAATAACAGCAACAATAATAATAACAATCCCTTAAGACTGTATTTTCCTATTTTTTTTTAAAAAAAAATGCTACTTATCAAACAGACTGTGAGATTTAATTTTATACTCTTTGTTTTCTCTAAAGAGATTGTGTTAAACCCCCAGTGTAGAAAACCCCATATATTCCTGTGTTTGTTTTGTGTTTGAAACAGGGTTTCCCTGTGTAGCCCTGCATGACCTAGACTTCACTATATAGTGAAGGCCCAGACTGCCCTCGAACTCACAGAGATCCATCTGCCTCTGCCTCCTGAGTGCTTGAATTAAAAGTATTCCCCACCATGCCCAGTAAAACTTATTGTCTTGATAGTTGTTTCTCATTACCAGTAACTTCAGTAAAGCCTTGATTAAATAGAATTCAAATGTTAAAATACTCTTGTTCTTATCGACAAATCAGAACCACTGTCATCTCGGTGTGCTGTTCATTGACTAGATACTATAGACCAGCCCCATTCCCACCTGTGTGTCACCTGCAGACACTGACAGAAGCCTCCTACCAGCCTGTGTGCATAAACTTGTGAGATCCCTGGCAGTTGATGCTCTCCATTCACTATGCAGGTCTGTGGGTCACACTCAAATCCTCAGACTTGGTAACAAGCGCTGTTATCCCATGCTCCATTTTGCTGGTCCACTGATGTGATTTTTTTTTTTTTAAGCTTGCCAGGCTTTCAGATATTTGGGGGAAAGGGAGGACAACAATTCCCCCAGGGGCGGAGGGAGAAAGAGCAGAAGTTTTAGTTAGAAAAAAAGACAACTGCCAGTAAGTGGTGGCTCAGTGGGTGAAAAGACTTTGCCATCAAGCCTGGCGACCTGCATTCAGTCTACTGGACCTATATGGTAGAAGGAGAGAACCAGCTTCTGCAGGCTGTTCTCAGACCTACACACACACACACACACACACACACACACAGACATGTTATAACATTTTAAAGGGGGGATGCGACTAAAATAGTATCTTCAGTATATTATATTTATAGGAATGCATAACATGTGAAATATACATTTTGAAGTTTCATCCACAACTTATAATGTTTACTGCAATAATAATAACAAGACAGCAGGTCGGCACTTTACAACATTACACATGAGTGAGTCAGACTGTTGGACTTACAAATAAAATATTTACAAGCTACCTTTACAAAACAACATCATGTGCATACAAAATGAACAATTGCAGGGAAAGTTAAAATAATAAGACAACCAAAACCCAAAAACCCCAGAAGATACACTTAAGGCAGACCAGCAAGACACTGAAATAATTAAGGCTGTGGAAGTCTTCTGCACCTTGAAAATATAGAGCTATTTACCAATACTGTGGAGTGATTTTAAATCAATTGTCACAAGTCTGATGGAAGTATGTACTTATATGTATATGTGTAATGGTCCCTATGGGGAAACCTGTCCACTTATGGATAAGGCCTTTTATCTGAATGGCCAGAGAAGCCCACCACAAATTCTCAAAAGGCTTTGGGGGAAGGGATCACTCAAAACCAAGAAGTGTTGGCCCAATTTGAAAATCAGATATTAAACTTCAAATATTGGCTGGGCATGATGGCATACGCCTTTAATCCCAGCACTTAGGAGGCAGACACAGGCAGACCTCTGTGAGTTCAAGGCCAACCTGTTCTACAGAGTGAGTCCCAGGACAGCCAGGCCTACATAGAGGGACCCTGTCTCAACAAACAAACAAAAAATCCAAACACACACACAAAAGAATTAAAATATAGACTTTTGAGTCAACAGAATCGCGTAAATTATAGTCTCAATGTGTTTCATACTTTGTTCATTTGGTCATGTGAACTTCAGAAGTCAGCAAATCAATTCTCATGTGACTAGAATTCTCCATGTATTATCTCTAATGGTTTTGAATGGTTCTAAATGGTTTTCCAGTAGAAAAACTGACCCATCTGGGCTGCCTGAAAATGGATAGATTTCTGCATATGAGCAATAACATATACATACATATTATACACTATATACATGTACGGGTGTACATATATCCATATTTTCCAACAGTTTGCCCTCCGTTGCCGCTGTTCTTTGAATAAATAGCATTTTCTCAAGGGTATGTCTAGTTTTTCACAGTCTTTCTATTTATCCCTCTTCTAGTTTGACTTACTTTCCCACAGAGTAGTCTGAAGTTCAGCAGAAACAGAAGTAAAAGCACCAGGGTTTTTGTTTTTGTCTTTTTTTTAAAAAAAAAAATCAAACACAGAGGTGAAAGATATGGCTTAAGTTAGTAAGAGAAGACAGAAGTTTTGTTAACTTGAGATTCATAGCCACAGTCTTTGAGGTCACAGTAACGGTCTCCATGGACTCCGGCATACGGACTCAGTTCTTGATGGAAGTGGGGGATTAATGCAGCTCCTACTCCTGCACTGACAACATTCAGGAATTGCTATCTGCACTTTTCCTTGCTCTTCCCCCTTGTGAAGAAGTTTATCTGACTGAACTGTTGGGTTGATCATTCAGATAAAAAAAACGAGATCTGACCACAGTTTGGAAGTTCTTGACAGTAGCCCAGGAGTGTTAATTTTAGGCTTTTAATTAATGTCATTTAAGATTAAAGCACTGTAATGGAATGACCATATTCTTCTCCTATAACATCAACTTATATTTTAAAAAAAAGAGAGAAAAATGTCTTTCATAACAAATATGGCCATATGATATTTCTGTATTCAATTTCCATATGGATTTTTCATAAAAAACATTTCCTATTTTTAAAAAATCTGTCTATGGATAAATTTCAGCCCCTTTGAGCTCTTTAAAATGAATGAGGGTGGGAGCCTTATCATTTTCAGAAAATAATTACTATCATAGTATCTTCTTTTCTGTTGGTGGAATCTATGTGAACATTTCCTTTTGCCTACTCTGGGTCTAATAATTCCTTCCCTAAAGGTCTTTAGATTTCAAATAACAAAGAAAAATCATGAACTATGTTTTTTTAAATAAATAAATCAGTTGAAAGCTTATATATGTTTGCCTAACCCAGACTCCATTGTAATGTTACCCAGCCAAGGGAAGAATATGGTCTATGTTCCTCAAAACTCACTGTCTACTACAGAGACCCTTTGTGTTCAATTGATTTCCCTCTATCAGGTATAGAGGAGAGAGTTTCTATTAATACAGAAAAATAACCACCATTTACTTTAGATTGCATTTTCTCCATCATTTTCTCCAAAATCTAACCTGCCACGTTTTTCAAGATAGGCAAGAAAAGAAAGAAGGATGAGTGGTCGGTCCGTAGACACGGAGGTTTGGAGACAACAGAAGACAACTCTTGAAGAACAGAGCCAAAGTTCTCTTTCTCTAAAATCTCATTCTCTTTCCTGCTGTGGGTATCACTTGCCTTTTCTAGAAGATTCCTGTGGGACTCTAAAGAAATTAACTGTGACAAGGGAGTGTACTGGATTTTCACATCTGCCCTCCCAGTGAGGAAAGTAGCTGTTTGGATTCTTCTTTGTCCGCCCTCAACCCCAGCATAAAGCTTGAGAAAAGAAAGGAATGGCTGGCTGTCTTAGAAAGCATCAGACTCTCATGTCCACCCTAAGAAATACTGAAGAAAACAGCTTATGGACATGTAAGGCCTCCTCAGCTCTCCCAAACCCTTTTCTGTAGACAAGCTCTTAAAGGGTGGAAGTTAAAAGGTAAGAGCAAACAACATGTAAACGAGGAGGACCCAGACCTTCCAATGACAAGCAATTTACAGAGGTTAATCTCAGGAGTTTGTAAACAGTACCCAAAGATAAGACTGAGGGAAACCGGAATGTTCAAAGTTACTGTCAATACAATTCTAAGCACTGGCAGTGTGTAGCACTTGAAGAAAATCAAAATACCATATAGATGTGCCAACAAGGATATTTTTCTCAACATTCTTAAGAGATTAATGTTCTCTCTTCTTCTCCCCAAATTCCATTTTATCAATGGTGACATTTGGGTCAGAAAACAACAAAAGACTTTCTGGAAGAAAGAATGAGTTTGGAATAGCTGAGATGGAGACTCAAAAAGTCCTGTTCCCATCCTACATTCAGATATTCTCATTTAAAACATATCTTAAACCTAAGGGGAAACAGACTGCAGTATCAGCAAATCTAAATGTAATTGAACTTCACTCTCCACCTCCCTCTGAAAGGCACTAAGATTGATAAAGGCTTTGTGAGGCACAAAGCTGAAGTCAGCTTCCCCTCTGCCTCCTCTACCCCCACTCAAGTTGCTGATGGCTGGGAGACATCTGAAGGACACATCCAACATTATGATGTTTTGTTTGTTTGTTTTGTCCTAACAGGTTTTAACCATACTCAGTTATAAGTGGGTAGAAATCTGTTTAATTCGAAACAAATGTAAATGGTGCAAAAATTATGAGAGTTCTCATCAGGGATCCTGGATTGGCCCTGATCTTTTCCATCTGTCTGTACCCCACCCTTTTAACACAAATCAAACGAGCTCAAGATGGTCAATAGAACCCAAACAAGAAATCTTCGACTCGGAGAGTGGCAGCTCACTCTCCACAAGAACAACTGGGAGGGTATTAGGAGTGGGAGATTCTCTCCTCCTCCCCCTTCTCTCCTAGTTCTAAGTCTCCCTGCCAAGACAGGTACAGAAGAGTGGTCCTGGGTTCTTCTTCTCCAGCCACTGTTGAGAACAATTGTACTCCAAACTATATTTCCTAGCCCTGTCAACGGGGTTTCTCCTAATTCCCATCTTGCTAGGGAGAATTCTCCAGCCAAGACTATCTTGGCCCCTATTGGAGGGACCAGGTGCTTTGTAGACAGGGACCTCCCTATTCACTTCAGTCACCAAACTACACAAAAAATGCCCCTTTTCTCTCAGTAAGTCCCTGAAGCTTACACTGCTTTAACAGGTGTACTTGAGCTGCCATTAACACAGTCACGTCCCTTTCCTTTCCTGGTTTCCCTGTGTACCTGGGCCAGTTCCATGTAGCCCCATGTCTAGACCGTCCCACCTCTGACACAAACACGGCTGTGAAAACTTGGCTCTCCACAGAGTTCTGTCACATACAACATCCTTTCAGTATGGCCCTTCTGTAGTGTCTGAACACCACTGTCCTAGGCTCTGTCCCCTCCCTAGCAGAAACCTGACTGGTCAGAACAATTCTAAGTGACTCCACAGGAAGCCCTTCTTTCAAGACAGCCGTAGTGGACAAGTGGACAGAACAGACCTGGCCACGTCACTTTCTGGATCTTTGGATTCCCCAGAGCCTGCATTTTATCCTACAATAAGCCCTCTGGCCCAAGGCTTTCCTCCTTAATGCTACATTTCTTAATAAAGACATGTTTATTTTTTTTAAAAAAAAAGTTAGTAAGCATGCTTTGTGTATGCATCATGGTTTAAATGAAACATGTGGAGGTAAGCTATGAGGGAGTGAGGCCTGCTGACCCAGGGCCACCTGAAGACAAAGAAACTACAGTCAGAGTCGGTTTCCACATATTTTGGTTAACCCCCAAAATACTAGGTGCTATCTAGTCTTATTGCTTTTGCTTCCTACTAATTTATTTCCCTATAATCTTGGATGAACTGAGATGGAGGATGGACGATGAGTAATCTGACTTTGAAACTGATGGGGGGAGTGTGATGAGTATTTTAATTCTATATTCCCACCATGGGAATAAGTGGTTTTCTACATTAAAATTAGACAGTTCCCATCATGTCTCCTTTAAATGGTTTAAACAGTTTTGCAGTTCCATTTTCCCTTCCCAGATTCTCCAATTGTACTTCCTGCTACATAATTTCAGTTTTCTCAGTTCCCACTAGCAGGAGCGACACAATGACATGAAACCCGATTTAAATAAACATTTCAGTTATATATATATATATATTTTAGAATATTATTTGCATCAAAGCAATTTTTAAAGCACACTCTAGGAAACAAAGGGTGAGTCATGTACAAACAGAAAATAATTAAAAAGCAAAAAAACAAACACTCCCCCCTCCCTGTTCCAACAGAAGAGGAAGAAGAAGAAGAAGAAGAAGAAGAAGAAGAAGAAGAAGAAGAAGAAGAAGAAGAAAACCCAACAAAACAAAAAACCATGAAGTGCCCTGGTTAATTTGGTTTCCCTCTGGAGGGCACTGGGCATAATCTTTTGTAAGGAGGAAGTGGCACTGGCCTCAGAATACAATTGGTCCTTTTAGTGCAGAGATGTTGGTGGCTGTGTGGTGATAGGTATTGCTATCACAGTTAAAACCTATGGTGTATTAAAGTGATAGGTCAGGCTTTGCTCCATGGCTTCAGGAAGGACTTAGGACGAGCCTTTCAAAGGCTTTGATGGCTGCCTCCTTTTGGTGAGCACCCCGAAGCTTCATGAGGGGTTAGGATAAATAAATAAAGCAAGCTAACTTTCTGAAAACTGTATTCTACAGCTATGAAATCAGAAAGAGCCGCTACACTGTTCACAGGAACGGTAGGAAAAGTTTCCATGTGCCCTTCTGTCTTAATTTGTGATATTCACTTACCTATGGCAGGCCCAGGGTGGATATAAAAACAACCCCCAACTCTTACTAGATTTGGATTTATTTCCTGGCAGTCCTTCCCACAGAAGGAACACTGAGCTGCCAATGAGTTCAGGGGGGAAGCTTTGATATACAGAACCTATCTTATTCAAACAACCCATGATGGAGGAAAAAATATCCCATTCACAGATCACAAAAGGGTCACATTGGTTTCTCTTAATACACAGGTTCTGATAAAAGATCTCTATACAAGATTTATAAAATGCTCTAAAAAAACTCATCATCTAATTGTGCTTAGTCAAAATAATGCAATGCTTCGGTAAATAAATTACTGTCTTAACTGGAGCACTCAAAGTTACTTATGATTGATTTCATATAGAACTCTATATTATAAAACTCTGAAACCTGAATGAGATCTATTATATTGTATGTGTATATGTATCCTGTTAAGAAACTATATCTACGCCATCTAAAGCAGAATAGTTGACATCTCTGTTAAATAGAACTTTTTTTTTTTTTGCTTAAATTTTCAATGGAATCAGAAACCTACTATACTGCTCACAGTGGGTATACAGCTTGCCCACTTAACTGCTCGTTTTGGAATGTACAATTAACATTTTTCTACCAAGTACTATCTTGTTAGCCTTGTCCATTCTTTTAATACTTTCTGTAACTCTGTATCTTTACTTCTTCAGCATGACCGTCTGGAATGCTCCTGGGATTAAGGTGACTTTCATGATGCTCAGACCCCACGTAATCACAGACAAGGTTTAAGAAGACCACCTCTCAGTCCAGAGAACCACATGGAGTGAAATGATGAACAGAGTTATTTACAGACACGCTCAGTCTTGCTTTGGTTCACACTGCACTTCTATGTGAAACCGCAGGGGGTTATGGGATAGCTATGTCCCTTGATTCACCCTGTTGACGATGTAACTCTTGACATTGGGAATGGGACGCACATCATTCTGGTGCTTGCGGCGTTCTATGAAGCAGGCCAGACGGGAGGTGTCTAAGGGGATCTTGGAGTAGCTGCCGTTGTGGGGCTGTAGCCAGGGATGCTGCAGGCACGTGGCTGCCGTGGGCCGCCTCCGGAAGTCCTCCTGTAAGATTACGTTGATGAAATCCCTGGCAGCGTTGCTCACACCGCAGAAGTATTCATGGGGAAAGCTGAAATCCACCCTGCACACGTTGATACAGGTCTCCTCTTTGCTCTCATCTAAGAAGGGGGAGACCCCACTAAGCATGACATATGTCAGAACCCCGATGCTCCAGATGTCTGTGCCCAGGGAGACAGGGATGCCTTGGATCACTTCGGGGGCAGCAAACTCAGGGTTCCCCAGCAAATGGTGAATGTGGAAGTGGCCTGAGATCTGGACAGCATCTTCCAAGTCGATAAGCTTCACTCGAGGTACTGGGATCCGGAGGTCAATGAGCAGGTTTTCAGGCTACAGGGACCCAGGAAGGCAGGGACAAGAGAGGCAAGATCAGGTCTTTGTTGACCCCCAGCTGGAGTCGGTTAGCTAACATAGTTCTATTATTCTTTGATTCAGTTTGTGCATGTGGAATATTCCCTATGCAAAGGCAAAGGAGGTTTCAAACTCACTAAACTCTGGGTTTAGGTGGCACTTTAGATAAGTTGGTTGGGGTTGGGGAAGGGGTACAGGACTAACTGTATACTCCTGGCTGGCCTGGAACTTACTATTTATACCAGACTTACCTGGAACATACAGAGATCCTCCTGTCTTTGTCTCCTGACTGCTGGGCTTACAGGTAAGGGCTGCTGCACACAGCCTGTACTTTCTTACCCTAGTGTCAGAGATCCAACCCAGGACCTTATGCATGATAATCAGGTGCTCTGCTACTAAGGCATACACCTATTCCAGAAGAACATACCTTCTTAACTAACCTTTGCTTTTGCAGTGAATCAAGAAAAGAAATAGCGTTTTAAGAAAAAAGAAGCTTCTCAGTAACACTCTCTCTCTCTCTCTCTCTCTCTCTCTCTCTCTCTCTCTCTCTCTCTCTCTCTCTCTCTGTGTGTGTGTGTGTGTGTGTGTGTGTGTGTGTGTGTGTGTGTGTGTATTTCTGGGTGGTGGCAACATGGGCCTTTAATCTCAGCAGTTGGGAAGCAGAAGCAGGTGGATCTATGAGTTCGAGGCCAACCTGGTCTACAGAATGAGTTCCAGAATAACCAGGGCTACACAGAGAAACCCTTTCTTGAAAAAAAATTATTTTCCTTTACGTGTATGTAGCCCTCAGGAGCTCCTTTCTTTTACAGAATGAAGGAGAATAGGACATTAAGTGATGCCTAAAGTTAGACTACTTGGTTAAAACTTTCATGCCTTCTCTTACCCTAGGTGCCACCATCTCTCTGGTGTGTTCTCTTTCATTCCTGAACAATGCACTAAGTAGGGTGAAAGTCTAGTTCCAGTTTAATAGTCACATGATGTCACAGTAAGTAGACAAAAGAAATTCAAACTTTTCCCGAGCAGTAGTGACACATGCCTTTAATCCCAGCACTTGGGAGGCAGAGGCAAGCAGATCTCTGAGTTTGAGGACAACCTGGTCTACAGAATGAGTTCCAGGACAGCCAGGGCTACACAGAGAAACCCTGTCTTTATAAAAACAAAATGAAACAATAAGAATAAGAAGAAATTTACATTTGTATTCTTCAAGGAAATGGCTGGTAAGCTGAACTCATCTATTTCACTACACCAGGCACTGATTTTTTTTTTATTACCTTTATGTCCAAATGTGCAACTCTGCAGTTGTGAAGGTACTGCAGTGCTTCCATGATGTCTCGGATGTAGAAAGCTACCTTTTCTTCCATCAGCTCATCGTGATTCATCAGGTAGTCCAAGAGTCGGCCATCATCCATCCTGAAAGCAAAGGAGGCGGTGTGTGTGTGTGTGTGTGTGTGTGTGTGTGTATAAATAGGGAAATGACCTATGTATATTGCTTAAAACTCTCTAAGAGGTCTCTTATTGATAGAGTTTAGTGTTGCAACATACATGTATTTTAGAGCCCAAAGTAAGTGCCACATTCAGAACTAGAATGAATCAAGTTAAAAATGTATTATGGAACAGGAGAAATCCTTATAGCCTTGCTCACAGAACACTGTTTTGTTGGCTTTAAGGTCTAACCTGGCTTTAAGAGGTTAGGTTGAAGGAAAAGAAAAGTCTGGTGCCTATAGTGAGCCTCATATATGTTAAAAAGTGTTTTCACTTTTAACATTTTTAGATGGGAGAGATATGAAGGAGGAAAGGTTTGTCCTCAGCATATCTGATCTCTTCTTAACTCCTTCGACTTCCTGACAGCTTGCCAACTTTCAAAGCCTGAAACTGATAAGTGGAGCCAGCCATATGTAGATTTGGATTCTTGTTCTGCCTCTTACCAACTGGTGGCTGTAGGGAATCACTTAAACTCTGTGTTTTGGCTACCCTAAAAGGCACCATCTTTTAAGGTGGGGATAGCAACTGGCCGCCAACAACAACATCAATGACATAATAAGACCTACTCATATGTTTGAAAACTTGGACCCCTGGGGAGAATTAGGAGGTGTGGCCTTGTTGGAGAAGGTGTGGCACTGGAATAGGCTTTGAAGGTTTCAAAAGCCCATACCATTCCCAGTTAGTTTCCTGCTTTGTGCTTGTGGGTCAAGTTGTAATCTCTCAACTACAGCTCTAGAACCGTCCCTGCCTGCACGCTCCTTACCATGATGCTCATGGACTCACCCTCTGAAACTGTAAGCCCCCAATAAACCCTTTCTTCTAAATGTTGCCTTGGTCATGGTGTTTCAACACAGAAAGAGAGAAGCAACACACAGTGCTGAATAAACAGTAGCTATTTCTAGGCTCCCTGTGCCCTTCTGTAACAAGAAGTGATCAAACCTTTAATGTGAAGTGGGTCATTTGCGATACATCTCAGGAAATGCCCATGGCAAGGAGCGTGATCCAGTATAGGAATAACTTTCAACTGCAGCTGAAACCTGCACGACCGTCTTCATTTTCTCCTGTAATTTGTTCCTTGCTATGGGACCCTTCTATTTTATTGATATGTGAAAAAGATGGAGTCCCTGGAAGGCTCCCTACCTCCCTCTGGTCTTCTCAGTATGAGGCAATAGAGGCAAGGGCAGAGAGGAGTGGTGCTGTGCTCATCACATGGAACTCCCAGAGATACTTGGAACAAATAAGGGGACATTTACAGCAACACTGTTCCAAGCCCAGAAAGGATCAGCCGCCCCACCCTCCTTAGAGCTATTCTCCAGCCTGCATCCATCTGAGACTAAGGAATAGAAATCTCATTTTCTGGTAGAGGAGGGTTCCACCAGCTATCCCTATTGACCACTACAGGCAGAGCAAGATTGAGCATGTGGTTCTACTCAGGTCTTGCTTCCCTGAAGATCACATCCAACAAAGCACAGTTCTATGTTCTCGTAGCCCTGAGTAATGTATTGTACTGGCTGGTTTTGTGTCAGCTTGACACAAGCTGGAGTTATCACAGAGAAAGGAGTTTCAGTTGAGGAAAGGCCTCCATGAGATCCAGTTGTATGTAAGGCATTTTCTCAATTAGTGATCAAGTAGGGAGAGCCCATTGTGTGTGATGCCATCCCTGGGCTGGTAGTCCTGGGTTCTATAAGAAAGCAAGCTGAGCAAGCCAGGGGAAGCAAGCCAGTAAGTAACATCCCTCCATGGCCTCTGCATCAGCTCCTGCTTCCTGACCTGCTTGAGTTCCAGTCCTGACTTCCTTCCGGGGAATGTCCTCCCTGTTAACATTAATGACTCCACGATAATTAGAAACAGCACAGGAGTTGAGGGTGTGGCTATGTCTCTGCAAAATGGTAAACACTGGGACCTTCAGGACAGCTGTTAAGGCTGTGGGAAAGAGCTCTAAATACATGAGTTCTCAGCTCTGTAAAAATATAAGGATGCGGGGGCTGGAGAGATGGCTCAGCGGTTAAGAGCACTGACTGCTCTTCCAGAGGTCCTGAGTTCAAATCCCAGCAACCACATGGTGGCTCACAACCATCTGTAATGAGATTGGATGCTCTCTTCTGGTGTGTCTGAAGACAACTACAGTGTACTCATCAATAAAATAAATAAATCTTAAAAAAAAAAAAAAAAAAAAAAAAATATATAAGGATGCAATATGAATTATGAGGGGCTTCATAATCTAAAGGAACACAGGCAGCTGCATTAATGAGCCAGCTTGTCAGAAAGACACAAAGGCAGGCAGATACAAAGGCAGGCCAATTCCTAAGTCCAAGGTCAGCCTGGGACACAGCGAGTCAAGTCCCTGGTGTAGTAAAAATGGTGGTTTCAGGACAGGGTCCCACCCAGCTAGCTAATCATCTATGTTTAACAAAGGCAGGCAGATCTCTGAGTTCTCTTGCAATGTTTAAAAAAAAAAAAATGTATGCTTGCTGTCTCCTAAGAATCAAAGGTCTGGGGTCACAGAGATGCTGAGTCATAGGATAACCAAAAGGTAACTTAATGTAAATGACTGAATTGGTATATAAATTTTAAAAAAATGGGCTTTTGGTCTGCATGAGATGAGCTAAGCAGAATGAGATGGCAGTTCTTTAGAATTTTCTCTAGTGAGAGCTGAGCTGTCTGAAATCTCTGGAGAGCAAACAAAAAAGCTCTTCAAGAATTTTTTTCTAACAGGATTTCTGACTTGGTCAGAAGAGCCAAAAATTTTTTTATAGCAGCTTTTCTGACTTTGGTTAGAAAACCCATGAGCTATCCAGATAGTTTTTAGAATATTTACTAGCAGAGAGAGCTGTCTCAACCAGAAAGGAAGGAAGAAAATGCTGTCTAGAGCAGAGTAGAACACACACACACACACACACACACACACACACACAGAGAGAGAGAGAGAGAGAGAGAGAGAGGGCGAGAGAGAGAGAGAGAGAGAGAGAGAGAGAGAGAGAGAGAGAGAGAGAGAGAGAGCGCGAGCGCAATCTGGAAAGCCATTTCAACAGAACCTTGGCTGCCAGCTTGGATCCACAATTTGATTTCTGTAGGCAAGGTAGGGGAGGTTCTGAAGATAAGGTCCTGTTCACCAATTGGTTCTTAATCTGTCAGAGAAAGCCATGAGCCAATTGCTGGTCAGATGGTACAGGTGGGACTTCCAGGTCCTTGGAGGCAAGCAGGGAGATGAAGAGATGAAAGGAAGGAGTGAGGGAGTTCTCCATGTTTTGGAAAGAGGAGAGCCAGACAATGGTCTCAGGAGGAGTGGTGGCCACTCTTATAGGCGGGTGATCAAAGATGTTTAGTTTAGTAGGGACTAAATTCACCTGACCGACTAAAATTAGAGCAGGTGGGAGGTTTGGAGCTAAGAATGTGGGCATGCTTTTCCAGACAGGAGATAAGTAGCATCTAGCAATTGTGACAAGAAGGCAAGTAGAAAATGAATAACTGTGTGTGTCTTTTATCCATGGATTCAAGGGAAGTTGGGCGGGGGCTGGTAGTGCAGCCCATTCCCAAAGCTTAGGCAGGGTTTCAAAAAGCTACACACAATAGACTTTCAGTTGTTTGTTTTTGAAGCTCTCAGACACCCCTTCTCTCAGAATTCCTCTCCCAAGCCAAGGTTGGTCCTTGGCAAGGGTTGGGGGATGTGGGGAGGAGAGGAGGGAGGGAAGAACTGGGAGGAAAGGAGGAAAGAGAAGTTTTGATTGGGATATAAAGTAAATAAACAAATGAATTAATAAAAAAGCTGTATCTTTTCACATTTGATATCTAGATAATCTGCCATTCCAGAAATGTCTTAGATGGAAAATTCTAGGTAGTAAATTGGGGTGCTATGGCTATAGATTGATAGATAAACTCCTTTTGTTCCAACACCACTGCTGTCAATCAGTCAATCACTAGGAAAGTCTTCTTAAATGAACCAAGCCTGAGAGTACATAATAGGAAGAAAATGAAAATAAGGGTAAGAAATACAGATTACAGCTAGAGATGAGAAATAAGTTCTGGTGATCTAGTTTATAGTATGGTGACCAGTGTTAACAATATGAAATGTTAGTAAGCTATTTCAATAGCTTGAGAAGAGAAAAAATTTTAAATGTTTTCATTACAAAGAAACAACCCATGCTAATATCCTAGTTTGATGATTACACAATGTATACATGCAATGAAACACCATACCCCATAAATATAAAACATGAAATAAAGCTTAGAAAAACTAGGAAAAGTGGAGTGAGAAGACATGGTTTCAAGATCCATTGTATGGACCCAATAAAAGGATGGATTCTCCACCCATACTTTCATTGAGCTTGCTTTAAAGCCCTTCTCCATTCTTGATTTCTCTAGTCTGCAGAATGAAAACTACATTAATAAAGCTGGAGGTGAAAGAAAACATGGTCCACAGCACACTTATAAACCACAGGAACAAGATGTGACTCTTGTCTGTCCATTGTGGGCAATGGAGAACCCGAGCAGACGAGTACCCCACTAGAGATACGCCATCTGTACTCACAGTTCCAAAATCAGGATGTAGGATGTGGGGGACTCGTAGGTGTCGTGGAGCGTGATGTACTGAGGGTGCTGCAGGTGCTGGAGCAGGGCAGCCTCGTGCGCAGCCTGCTCCTTCTTCTTCATTTTTTTGCTCACAAATTTCACGGCAACATCTTTGCGGGTCGCTTTGTGAATGCATTTCTTTACAATAGAGAAGCGGCCTCTGCGAGACAAAGGGGAGTGGTTTCGAAGGGTCATCAGTCAGCAGGGCATCATTTACCAAAATATGTTAGGGTGTGTGTGTGTGTCTGCACACGTGCGCGCATGTGCACACATGCCCAGGTGCATCGCTGAGACAGTAACATCTTACAAGTTAAGTGTTCCTAATCCAAAAATCCATAATCCAAAATGCTCTAAAATCTGACACCCTTTGTGTGCAGACATAAAATTACTGTGGAAAATTCCACAGCTGACTTCACATGGTGAGTGACAAAGGAACTGAACCCAGGTCTCTTCTGCAGGAACAAGGGCTCTTAACCACTAAGCCATCTCTCCAGCCCATTGTTTTGTGCAGAAGTATATTCTGTCTAGAAACGAAAACAAACCCACACTTGATGCTCCAAATAGCACAGAAATATGTTGGGTAAAAAATTAAATTAGTTTACCTTTGAGGTTTGAAAGAGCCTAGGATGCTGAGAAAGTAGGGATGGCTTTTTAAATAATTATAATATCATAATTAAAAGTAAGAAGGAAAGGTTTCTTTTCATTTTATTATGTATTCATATATGTGCATGTGTATTGTGTTATGAGGGGAGCGGTGCACACATGCCACACATCCTATGTGTGGACAGCGCATGTGTGGAAGTCAGGGACAAATTTGTGGAGTCAATACTCTTGTGCTTTTATGTGCACTTCAGGCACCGGGCTTAGGCTGTCAGGTCTATGACTTCAGATAGCAGGTGTCTTTATGCCCTGAGCCAAATTACCAGTCCCAGGAGGAAATTTCTTTCTTTTTTTCTAATTTATTTATTTATTTTATTTATTTATTATTATTATTATTATTTGGTTTTTCGAGACAGGGTTTCTCTGTGTAGGCCTGGCTGTCCTGGAACTCACTCTGTAGACCAGGCTGGCCTCGAACTCAGAAATCCGCCTGTCTCTGCCTCCCAAGTGCTGGGATTAAAGGCAAGCACCACCACTGCCTGGCCTAATTTATTTGTTTTTATTTTACGAGCACGGTTAAGTGACTGCACGTATGTATGTATGTATATGCACCACATATGTGTCTGGCGAAGAAGAGGGCATGAGATACCTTGGAAGGTACAGAAGGTTGTGAGCAGCCTTGTGGATGCTGAGAATGTAACCCCTGTCCTCTGGAAGAGCAGCCAGAACCCTTGACCTCTGAGCCATCACTCCATCCCCAGAAAGATTTCTAATATTGCTTGGTCTCTCTTCTTCAAAATGCTAGGGACCAGAAGTGGTTTTGCACCAAGGATTTTAGGAACTATGTGCATGTGCACAAAGAGATGACTTGAGTCTGGGAAAAGTCTAGAAATAGTCACCTATATTTCATGCACTCCTTTGCCTGAAGGTGACTTCATGTAATGTGGCTAGTATACCTGTATTATGTGAATGCCTATTTTGCCTACATGCAAGTCTGTGCACCATGTGTGTGCAATGCTCCCAGAGGCTAGAAGAGAGAGCCCTTGGGACTAGAGTTACAGATGATTGTGAGCCACCATGCAGGTGCTAGGATTGAACTCAGGTCCTGTGGAAGAGCAGCCAGTGCTCTTACCTGCTGATCTCGAATACAAAACCATCTTTACAAAAGTTTGCCATGCTTTACCCACAGAGCAAGTTTGAGCAAGTTCTTTGATTACAGTGCAATGAAATTAGAAGTAACAAAATATGCCGGGCGGTGGTGGCGCACACCTTTAATCCCAGCACTTGGGAGGCAGAGGTAGGTGGATTTCTGAGTTCGAGGCCAGCCTGGTCTACAGAGTGAGTTCCAGGACAGCCAGGACTACACAGAGAAACCCTGTCTCAAAAAACCAAAAAAAAAAAAAAGTAAAAAAATATAACTTAAATCTTATATATATTAAAGCATTTTATATATACTTATAACTCATTATAATTGGTTCAAGAAATAAGCCATGGTTGAAAAATACACAGAAATAATGATAATGAAAATATCATAGATCAAAATTTGAGACATGTAACTAAAATTACACTTTTAGGAAAATTTTGAGGTTTAAAAAAATCTTATGTTACACTTGGCCTGGTGTCACATGCCTTTCATCCCAGCACTGGGGAGGCAGAGGCAGGCAGATGTCTGAGTTCAAGGCCAGTCTGGTCTACAGAGTGAGTTCCAGGATAGCCCGGGCCCCTGTCTCAAAAACAAAAAACAAAACAAAACAAAACAAAACAAAACAAAACAAAACAAAGCAAAGCAAAAAGCTAAGTGCCAATAAGGCAAGCTTCCAACTCCAGTAAAGAAAAAGAATGGAAGAATATTCCCAGGAATGCACTAACTGTTTTCCAACAAAAAGAGACAAAGTAGAAAGAAACACCAACAAACCAAGCCAGTCATTCTGTTGTGAGAAGGATGGTATCCTTACCTGCCAATCTCATTCAGTTCGGTGTAAGCAGAATCAAAATTTTCCTTCCAAGAAATGGTGGCACCATCAGCAGCCGCATCTTTGGGAGAGGAAGAATACACATGTGACATTACGAAGATATTTCAGCATAATAACCTCAGGGAAATTCTTATGACTAAATATTCTTTCATGGCCACCCAGTGGTGAAAGACTGTGATTCTCTGGACTGTTATTTTAAAAATGTCCAAGGGAGATGGATATGGCAGAGTCAAGCAGTCTATCATTTCTTCAAACAGAGGGAGATCATGGGACAGGATCAGAAACACAGCTTCACAAAAAATCAGAGAAAACATAAGAAGGCAGAAAGAGGAACTCTAGAAGGACTAGAAAAGTCAGTGAAAATGTGGGGTACGGGAAGCAGAGAAGATGAGCGAGCGAAGGCCACAGAGGAAAAGGGGGAAGCAGTGTGGGCAAAGTGTTCTAGAGACTTCTTTGCCTGACATCACTGTCCTTGTCCTTCTGCAAGCTTTTCCTTGTATAGTTCTCAGCCTTCCTAATGCTTTGACCTTTAATACAGATCCTCAGGCTGTGGTGACCCAACCATACCATTGTTTCATAGCTACTTCACAACTGTCATGTTGCTACTGTTATGCATTGTAATGCAAGTATCTGAAATGCAGGATATCTGCTGAAGACCCACAGATTGAGAACCGCTGCTCTATATGAACTGATTGAACTTCACCCAGGACTGGTTCTCCTGGGCGATTCTGTGATTCTGTTTGACCTTGTACAGCGTGTCAATCCTTGTACACACACACACACACACTCGTCTGCTGGGGTGTCTGCTGGGGGTCATGTCTCAGAAGTAACAAGTTTCCTCTTTTAAAATGTCTCCAGGACCAAAATGGATAGAGAAAGTGGGTCAGCGAGCAAGGTGGGCAAAGTGAGACCCACACTGGTATTCACATCTAATTAGTTACATGCATGTCTTAGCCAATTTCTATTTTATGTAGATCCATGTTGAAAAGCAAATTCTGGAAGGGTGGGGCAAATGTCAAGGTTTCATTTGGATGTGAACTCCTTTTCTCTTGGGGTTTTAAGTTGTTGAGCCCAGCAGTTCCTGACATGGTGGGAAACACATCCCTGCCAGAGGAACCCAGGGGAAAAGAGGCTTTGAACTCCACAAGAGATCTCAGAGGAGGGTCAGAGCCAGAAAGTACACTATGACAAAGGTCTCCTGTATATCCTTTGAGGTTCCCCTGAGGGACCCCAAAAGGCACATGATCAGCAAGGGTAGTAGATCTAATGTTGGCTCTGAGATACCTCCTGAGACACTTCATCTGGTCTCTTAAAGATGGTCTGATGGAAGCTGCCACATGGTCCCAAGACTCCTCCCCATGGGGGTCAGAGACACCCAGCGATTTTGTTACAGTGGCCCACCGACTTGCTTCCATTGGCTAGCTGTCCTCCGTCTGCTGGGACTCACCATACTCTGGAAGGCGCACAAACTCCGAGGGCTCACTGGGAAGGCTGATTCCCCAGGGGTTGCTGGCGCTGACCCTGAACTGATAAGGGCACCCAGGACTAAGGTCTTCAATGACCAGGTACGTGTCCAAGGTCGAAGCTACCGACTGTTGCCAGACTTGGGAACCTAGAGAGACAGAGTCAGAAACATTGTTTCAAAGGCCTAGAAAACGGAGACAGAGTCAAAGACAGTGTTTCAAAGGCCTTCAGCAAATAAAGATAGGGAAATGAACAGCATGGTAACTGTCAGGCTCTGAAAGTCTCCAGGCCAATTGTGGGGGGTTTTGGCCCAGTTTTCCTAAGTAACAGGCTAAATGACAGCTGGTGCAAGAAGTTGACCTATGGGTTCTATTCCATCTCAAACGTGCAAGGTGAAGAGTTAGCACTGATTGGTTATACATGGCAATCTGCAGCTGGAAGTGTGATTAGGCCTCAAGAAAATACAAGTCAGGAACAAAATGAGAGGAAACATGTCTTTGGAAATTGAAACAAAAATTAACACACATGGGGCATATTACATGTGAAAACACTCCAGGGCACAGCACGATTCTCCCCTTTAACTTCAGCTAAAGTTCACAGAACCCAACGATGACCTGAACACTAATCTTCCTTGACAGGTGAAGAAATAGGCACCTCAGAAACACTAAGCAGTGTGCCTATGAGAACTTATGTTTCTGGGATAAGCTATGAACTTAACACAGAAATAGCGAAACAGGTTTTTGTAGCTCAGCAGTCATACCTGGGCTGGCCCTGCATAACCTGCTGCAGACAGCTTTACAAAAAGGCTGAAATAAACAGTTTTATAACTGCACACTTCCTCCTTAAGGAAAAAAGAATTAAAATAATGCTAGAATAGAAAGAAAAGTAAAACAAATGGTCTTGGGAGGGCAAGCAGGTGCTTTAGGTTCAGTTGGGTCATTCCTGATGTGGTTTGGAGCTGTGTCATGACAACTACCTGGAAGCGCCTTTAAAAACATTATTATTATTATTATTATTATTATTATTATTGTGGAAGTTTTTGCTACACTGCTTGTGGCCCCAGTGGATTGCACTGGTGCACCCTCCCAGGAACTATCTTTGGATCTGTGAATGAAAGGCACACACACATTAGCTTATTTTTTTAAATGCCTTGGCTACCTCAAAGGCTGGGCACTGTTGTTTGTTTGTTTGGTTTGGTTTGGTTTTTCGAGACAGGGTTTCTCTGTGTAGTCCTGGCTGTCCTGGAACTCACTCTGTAGACCAGGCTGGCCTCGAACTCAGAAATCTGCCTGCTTCTGCCTCCCAAGTGCTGGGATTAAAGGTGTGCGCCACCACTGCCTGGCTCAGCTGGGTACTCCTAAACCTTCTCCTGCTACTTCAGGCCCAATCAGGGAAGTGGCCAGTGACTATGTATATGTATATACATATATAGTAATATATATTACAATTAAGTATAATTATTAATATTATAATTTATTATTATTATTGTTGTTTTGTTGTTATTGTTATTATTATTACAGAATCTCACTATGTAGCTGACTCTAGCTGACTTATGTAGACCAGGCTGGTTTCGAACTCAAGGAGATCCTCCTGTCAATGCCTCCTGAGTGCTGGGATTAAAAGTGTGCGCCACCACACCTGGCTTAAACTAGCTTTCCCAACTATTAAAGGTACATGTATGTACACATGTTGTAGAGTATATCCGGAGGGGGAAGGGTAGAGCTCTGCTCATCCTATCGTGGTTTCTGGTCTGGGAGAAAAACAAGATTAGCCAACTACAGAGCTGGGTCTAGTGGGAGCTTGCCCCCACTGTTTCTTTACTCTTTCGGCTTTAGCTTCCCATCTGTAACATGGGCTCAATAGCCCCATCTGTGTGATTGAGCTGGCTAAACAGGACAAAGCAATGAAGACACACTGCCACCTAGTGGCTGTGCCCGGACGGCACCAGAGAGGTTTCCATTTGGGAACCGTGGGCAGATACAGCCTGGCCCCAGGCTTCTGCGCTAAACTCCCAGGGTGCCCTAGCCAGGCTGATAGCAGTGAATGGGAAAATATTTGAAGCCTAAGGTTCGTGACTCTGAAGACCTCCTAAGAGGAGGCAGATACAGAAGAGCAGAGCAACACACCTTCCTCGCGGTACTCCACCGTATACCCCGAAATAGTGCAGTTCCCGGTGCTGGCTGGGGGTAGCCAGCGAAGGATGACGGAGGTACAGCTCCTCTCCTGTGCGATTGGGCGGTTGGGGGCTGCAGGTACACCTGTGGAGACAGACAGCAGGGCGGTGCGGCTTCTCAGAGCTGGGAGTTGCATGCCCTAGTAGCACGGTGTACAGGAAAGATACTAAAAATGTCTTACACCTGGACCATAACCTTATACGAAGCACACCTTACTCTAGGTCCAAGGGAGGCCTAGGAGATGGGACACGCTGTCTGACAACCTCCCTCAACTAAACATGGTCAGGAACCATTCTGGAGGTTAGAGTAGGAGGTTAGCAGGGTTGAGTGTCTTCCCATTGGTCTGGGTGCTGCTTTGTATCCTTTCTTCCCTGAGTCTCAAGGTGTCCTGTGTTCTGGTCATGTCCACTTAAAATAACCAATATATAAAGTCTTTGAGGCCAGAATAGGAAAGGCAGAATAGGGGACAGCCAGGGCAGTGGGGAGGGAGGAATTTGGAGTTATTGTTTAATAGAACAGATAATAAAAGAGTTATGTGGATGGCTGGTGGCCACAAACCAACGGGTGTGTCCTCAATGCCATTAAACGCTACACCTAAAAGTGATTAAGATGCTAAATTTTATTCTTGTGTTTTGTTACAGTTAAGAAATGCTCTGAGAGAGAGGGGAGGGATTACAGCATACCTTGCACCTTAACTGTAGCAGACGTGGATGCAGTTCCGTGGTCATTTGTTGCTATGCAGGTATAAATCCCGCTGTCTTGGGGCATCAGGTTGCAGATCTTGAGGGTGCTTTCTCCAGAATCACTAGGACATTAAATGGATCTTCTTCAGGCTCCCGTAGGGATAAGTTGAGGGATGTATAAAATGCCAGAGGCTTGGTTCCTGGTGTGCAGAGCTGAGAGTACATGCCTCCTCCAGCTCAGCCTACCTTTACAACTTGGGTGAACACCTTGCATCCATTTCCTTATGTGGGGAATTTATTGATTTATTGATTTATTTATTTCACTTTGCATCCCAATCGCTGCTCTCCCTTCTGGTGCCCCCCCACAGTCCCACCCTCTCACCCACTCCCCTTCTCCTCTGAAAGGGTGGAGGTCTCCTCTGGGTATCCCAACCCTGGCACATCAAGTCTCTGCAGGGCTAGGCGCATCCTTTCCCACTGAGGCCAGACAAAGCAGCCCAGTTAGGAGACCGTATTACACCCACAGGCAACAGGTTTAAAGGTACTCCCGCTGTTGGGGAGACCCACATGAAGACGCGGAGCTGCACATTGCTACATAAATACGGGGAGGCCTAAGCCCGCCCCGTGTATGCATGCTCTTTGGTTGGTGGTTCAGACTCTGAGAGCCCCCAAGGGTTAAGGTTAGTTGATTCTGTTGATCTTCCTGTGGAACTTCTATCCCCTTTGGGGCCCTCAATGTGGGGAGGTTTTGTTTTTCCTCCAAATGCTCATTGCCAAAATTTGTGTAAATAAGGAATAGAGTAGGGATGGAATGAGGTATGAATTAAAAATAAATAAAATCCAATAACCTACCAGTTTTCAAGTACATCACACAAAGAATTCTTATGCTGAAATAACATCAGTCCCTTAAGTCAGTAACAAATGGCAAAACATAATAAGGAATATGCTTAAGTATTTCAGGGACCCTTAAAATCATTAAGTAGGTGTCTGTGGCGGTGACTCGGTGGGTCAAGCGCTTGTTGGACAAGCCTGAGAGTTACAAGTTAGTAATAAGTTGTGTGTAGCGTGTGCCTGTGACCCCAGAACTGGTAGGTCGGGGAGCAGGCAGATCCAAAGGCTTGTTGGCCAGCTAGTCTAGCTGAAACAGTAAGCTTCAGGTTTCATGAGAGATGATGTCTCAAAAAAACAGGGAGAGAGCAGCCGATAAAGACACTTGACGTGAACCTCTGGCCTCCATATCCTGCCATCTGTACACACATACCACACACACATACACACACCACACACACATACGCACATCACACACACACACATCACACATACAGACACGCTATACACATGCATACTACGCACACATATCACACACACACACATACACACACCATATATACATACACACACATACCACACACACTGCACACGTACACACATCACACACAATACACACACACACACTCACACACTGAACTAAGAAAGGGTAAATTCCTGTAATTAAATGGAAACTTTCTCACTTGCCCCAGAAGGACTTTCAGAAGCACTTCACAGAAGGAATGTCTCTGAAAGGCTTAAATTACGAAGTCAACCTCTCCCTTTGTGGCAATTTGAATGAGAATGGCTCCTGTAGCCTCAAATATTTGAATGTTTGCTCCCCAGTTGGTAGAACTGCTTAGAAAGGATTAGGAAATATGACCTTGGGCTTTGAGGTTTTGAAAGCTCAAGCCAGGCCCAGTCGCCATCTATTTCTACCCCCTGCTTGTGGACCTCAGCTAGTGCTCCAGAGCCATGCCTGCTTGCCTGCTGTCATGCCCTGCCACGATGCTCATGTGTCTTCTTCTCTCTGGAGCCATGCCTGCTTGCCTGCTGTCATGCCCTGCCATGATGCTCATGTGTCTTCTACTCTCTGGAGCCATGCCTGCTTGCCTGCTGTCATGCCCTGCCATGATGCTCATGTGTCTTCTACTCTCTGGAACCATGAACTCCAAATTAAATGTTTTCTTCTCTATGTTCCCTTGGTCATGGCGCCTTTTCACATCAATAGAAAGGTGACTAAGACACCATCCCTGTGGTATGACATATTCTGAGATTTTTCATGGTCTTGGCCAAACAATGACTCTCGCACTGAGCTGCTGAGACCCATGAGGTTTTATGGCCTACCCAGACATCTCTCTTTTGGAAACATCAAAGAAGATACCTTCCCCAACACACACACACACACACACACACACACACACACATACACACTCACTCATACACATACTCACTCGCAAACACAAATACATACATAAACAGACACACAATCACAAACACAGACTCACAGACACACACAAACATAGACACAAAAACAATCACAAACATGGACTCATAGGTACTCACATACATAGACACACAGACAATCACAAACACAGACTCAAAGACACTCATAAACACACACACGGACACACCCACACATACACACACTCACAAACACGATTTAAGCCAATGGAAATGTGCTCTATTCCGGGCATTTGTCTACGTGTCTGGTGAGCCATTGGAACTTGGTACTGCTTGTCTGCTGTAAGCAGCCACACACAGTGATGCTCAGAATTCGTGGAGGGACAAATTAGCAGAATGGTTGGGAAACAGTTAACCAAGCAGCCTTTAGTGCAGATGCACCTTGTATCTTGATATCTCACTGCACAGCTTGGAATATGCATCACTCCCTCATAAAATAGCCCTTAGGTAAGGAATGAATCACATAGCCATCTCTATCTCAAAGCGTCCTGATGGGCATCAAGCATTCCCGGGTGTTCAGTTAGCATTCAGTACTTTTGACAGATCTCCCTGGGGATCCTTGGACAGATTATCTAACAGTGTGCCTATAAGGCAGGACCACAGAAACATTTTATATTTATAGTTCAGGCTTGACCTGTTATTTAAAGGATAGTGCTTTTTATTTGTTTTCTGTAGGCCCTGGACAGAGTGTTTCTAGATGGTTCCTGTAAGCCTCATGTCTATCTGTCTGGTGCTGGGCAGCACACTCAATGTATGCTGGCACAGTCCAGAGCCAGGCTGAGAGGCCAGCTGTAGAGTGGGTAGCTGAGGCTGTGCTTGAGACTTGAATACAGGGTGCTCTGGTGTTGGGGGGGCTAACCCACCCATGCTTTTAATGAAGTCTCTCTCCTAATCAAGGCCAAGTATATGATCTGGAATAAACAACAGGACAGATCTTTTGGGATAACTAGTAATCCAGAGAGAATTTCACCCCAGTCCAGCCTCTGGGTGCTATGGGCCCAGACACTGGGTAACCCCCTTACCAGGAGGAGATGGTGTATGTGGCAGAACTGTTGTCAGTGTCTAGGATGTTCTGATCTGGACCCTTCCAGGTGATGCTGGGCTTTGGCCGCCCACAGGCTTTGCACTGTAGTAGCACCGTGTCTCCAAGCAAGCAGGTCACATCTACTAAGGGCACAAGGAATTCCGGAGCCACTGCAATTGAATTGATACACACTCATGTTACTTCTTGAAACAAACTTAACAGCCATTTTAGACGCTGTACTATTCTCACCCTCAGAGCTGGAGCATCAGGGTTCAAACGATCCTCGGTTTAACATTGTTTGATCAGTGTGCATTGTTTGATCAGTGAGAAACTCACTATGTAGATCAGGCCGGCCTCAAGCCCAGAAAGATCTGCCTGCCTCTCGGTGCTGGGATCAAAGGCATGCACCGCCATGCCCACCTTTGTGCCCCTTTATTTAACAGCAACATTAGAAACAAAAGCACGAGAAGGAGAAGCTCCGTGGTGGCATAATGCAGACGTGGTATTTGGAAACGTTTCACAGTACAGTCTTTGAGCTTTATATAAATGTATTTTTAATTTATTTAATCAAAGTAGAACCCCTTATACATCGCACATGCTATACTTTTTGCACTTACTAGTTTATCTTAATGATCACGCCTTATTCATAAATACAGAAGCATGTCACCATTGCTTAAGTCCCCTCCTTAAAGCTAGATATAATGTCATTTACTTAGCCAGTCCCCACATTCTCCATTCTATCCCCTTAAAAACTCACCTTCCTGGATGAAATTTGGGTTCAAGATCTGAAAAAGAAACACACACAAAAGAACAGAAAATTGCTTGAACCTTTACGACTTGGAGAAAACGATAGACTTTACTGAGTCAAAAGCAAGGACCGTTTGGGGTAATGCCTTCAGGAGCCCACCCTTTCTTTCCCTGTGCTGTTACAGACAGCCACAGTCATACATACCATCATTGACACCAAAGATTACTTCCTGTCTAAGATGGCCACTGGGTGGGCTTACTGCTTGATGGTGGCTGTGGCCACCTCTCTCCTTTCCTCTCTGTTGATCCTTTTCCATGGACAACCCCAAACCCTTCCTATTCAACATGTCCTCTACCAATACCATAGTAACAATTTCCCCACAAATTACAGGCAGGAACAAAAGCCATGAGAGGGATCACTCATGAAAAGCCATGAGAGGGATCACCGGGCCACTGGGCCACTGCAATGAATCTACCCAGTGGTTCCCATTCAAAGGTCCCCTCCACCTGTATTTGGCCCTAAGCAGAGCTTTCCTGGCTGAAGAAAAAGAGCAGTATGTCAGCTGCCTATCTGATCCCAGTCACAACTCTGTAGCCCTGACCTCCACAGGGGATGGACAAACACCTGATCTTCATGCTACTTGAGGAAGCAAAGGAAGATTCAAGCCCACCAAATGATTCTTGAATTCCATGGGTGATCTGAGGAGAAAACAGTACACTCAAATGTGAATACCGGGTCACTCCAGCCAGCCTGGAAAGTTAGCCTTTCTCAAGTGGCTGCTTACTTTGCCCTGTTCCCAACCTTTTTATTACCTCTCCCCAGGCAAAGAGAAGCCCAGCTCTCAAAAAATCTGATTTGTGAGAAACCTCAAGCTTTAGTGAAATGAGAGCCAGGTGTGACCTTCTGTTCCATGTGGTTGCATGCTTACCACTTGGCGTTGATTGTTATTAATTTTCCTCCACTGTGAAATGGAAAAAAAAGACCTAGTGTGGCTGGCTATCGCAGACATAATAAGTACAGTTAAATATGCCAAGTACTCACCATAATGCTTGTTGAACAACGAGCACTTAATTCCTATTCAGATAAAAATGTAAAGTTCTAATGGCCTTCCTTCTGCTAAGCTGTCTGTGGAGGTGCCTAACCTACTTTATCCTGCAAAGTTCTTGCCTTCCAGCTAGGGTGGAAAACTCACCTTACACAAAGAAAAGCTCACATAGAGCTTTTCACATAGTCTGTCCCTGCCTCCTGTGAACATATTCTGTTTCTGTGTGTTCCCATATAGAGGAGTGTGTAGGAGCCCTCTGGAAGATGTCCCCCTGCAGTATTAGTCTGAAGATGCCGTGTCTCCCCCCCTTTCCCCCACCACCTCGAGCTCCTTCAAACCAGTGGTTCCTGCTCCTTGACAGAAGCAGCTTAAAACCAGAAAGTGCAGCCAACGCCTGGACCTCATGACCAAAGCTGCTGTCTGGGTTGGTGTGAAGTGTGCAGGCATTTGGAGTAGGGGAAAGTGTACTAGGGACTGAGCCCACAGCTTTGCATGTTAGGCAAGCGCACTGCGCTGACCTACAACCCTCCATAAATTTCCTCATTTAAAATTTTGATATAAGGCCTTACCAAATTGCTAGAGCAGGCTTTGAACTAGTGCTTCTCCTGCCGCGGCCTTCTGAATAGTTGGGGTTCCAGGCATCATGTGTCATGTCTGGCTGTCATTTAACACACACACACACACACACACACACACACTATTCATTCTTTGAGAATTGTATACATATATACAACGTATTTTGATCATATCACCCCACTCCCTCTCCAGCCCCTTTCAGAACTCCCTGCCATATCCCCTCCCAGCTTCATGTCCTCTTTTCTAATAACCCTGAGTCCAGTCAGTACTGTCCATGTGCATGGTGCTATGCGGGGCCGTCTGCCAGAGCACAGGCAGCCTACGAGGGGCCACTTTCCTGAGGAACTCCGACCTTCCTATTCCAGGAGCCTTCAATTAACAGCCGTCAGCTAGGGCTGGGTTCTGAGTCCCTCCCCTATCTGTGCCAGCTTCTTGACCGGCTTGCAGGGAACCTCGCCGTTCCTCTTCTGCAGTGTTCCCTCTGGGGAGGGGCTGTGGTACAGACTTCTCATTTAGCGTTGAACGCTCCTCAGTTGAATTCATTCATGCTGAGGACTCTAACCAGCTACGGGTCTGTGTATGTACTGCCCATGGTGAAAGAAGCTACACTAGTCCGTTGGTCTCGGGAGTTATGCGCGATGCTGCGTTTTGTTTTTAAAAGCCCCACTCAGGAGAATTCCTGGGCAGCCTGGTTGAAGGACCTCTGGTAGATGATTGGGGCTGTGTGAGGTACCTGATCTCTAACCCGCTAGCTTCCTGCCCCTGAGGCATCTGTGGATGTGTGACACATGGAAGGATGTGGTAAATAAAAGCTATTGAGTCTCTCACACACACTAAGAGATCTCTCTGTGTGAAAATACTCTGGCCCATGTTATGAGGAAGGATATAAAACTTTCTTCAGGGTACTGAGGGTGATCATTACTACAGTGGCACCATGGTACCAGCAGGAGAACACAAAAGAGGTCATACACTGATCGACCTGGCTTAGGTAGGGTAGGCGAACCTGGTCTGGGTCAGTTATTTGGCGCAGAAAAGAGGCTACGAATATTTCCAGATATTGATAGTGGTTACTCAGTGCTGGGCTTACAGGAGGCTTTCCTTCCCGCTCAAGAAACACTGGCTGATGTGTGCGTGCTTTTGTGGACACAGAAATACAAACACACTGGCTCTACTCTTTGTTTTTATAAAACAGTATATAATGTTTAGGTGACTTTTCCTTCTCCTTTTCTTCCTCCTCCTCCACCTCCTCCTTCTCCTCTCCTCCTTCTTCTTTCTCCTCCCCTTCCTTCTTTTTGTTTTTTTTTGGGGGGGTTGTTTTGTTTGTCCCCCTCCCAAGGCAGGGTTTCCTTTTGTAGGCCTGTCTGTCCTGGAACTTGCTCCATAGACCAGGCTGTCTCCAGAAAGCTGGGATTAAAGACATGCGCCATGATCCAGCTCTCCTTTCCCTTCTTACATGGACTTTCCAAATTTTCTGCAGTTAATCCATTTCACTGTCATAGTATTTTGTAAAGAAAGGTGCAGTCAGACCAGTTAGACCCTGAGCTCTTCAGGGTGGGAGCTGCTGTTATTCAGCCCCGTGCCCAGGATCTCACACAGTGAGCATTTGATACAAGTTGGTGAATACACGCTTGTTCTCTCACCTCATTTCATGACTCTCAGGTATGCTAGGATCATAAACAGGACTCAAAACAAGATAAAAAGATATGTAAAATAACTAGCCCCAGGTTAATGTCTAATATCTGTCTAGAGCCTGTTTGCAAATAGATGGAACATAAACTTTGGAAAAATGACTCTTAATGAACACTGTGCATAGCCCCTGAGAGTGGTAGCTCTTAGCGGAGTGAGGTGAAAGTGTGTAAACGCTGGGAGAAGACAGGAATGAGGAGGCCCTGGCGCTCTCTGCACTTGGCTGCAGTTCTTAAACAACACAGGACTCAGCTTCATCTGAGGATTGTAACATCAACATGGTTTTGTGGACACAGACCTCTGTAATTTAGGGATTGTAATGCCAACATGGAAGGTTTGTTTGATGTTGGTAAAGATTTATTGAGCAGACCCCGGTTAGGTGGTTGTACCAGGAGGGAACAAGGTAGGCAGACACATTGTCATCCACAGGCTTCAGCACAGTGGGAAGATGGGATGTGATGACACTTGCGTTATAAGTTTGCCGTGGCATGGACCAGCCCTCAGCAGATAACAGTGCTTTAGACTGCAGCATCTCATTCCCCTATCCATCAGGACTCTAGTGGAGAAAGAACCTAAGGGTGCTAAACAGGCTCTGTTCAGTGACCTGTACTTCCCACGGTGATGGAGATTCCCCCAGAGAGAAGGATATGGAGCCCCTACCAGGAGTCTCACAGGGAAGACAATGGAGCAAGTGGCAAGTCAATCTATTTCATAGACACTTGAGGTGTAGGCACTGAACCCAGGACATGTGCATGCTAGGCACTGAGCTTCACTCTCAGGTCTTAGTATGAAAAATTGAAGTGAGGCTTCAAAAGCCTAGAAGAACTCACCTCAGATGGCTGCAGAGAGAGTTTGTCTTCCTCACCGTGGAACCCTAGCTGAATCCTGTGTGCTATTGAACATGTATGCTGCTTAAGAAATGAACATTCCTTCTTAGGTTGTAGGTTTAGTGGGGATGTTGGGGAAAGGCTCAACTACAGGTTCTTCACCTGGAAAGACCAGAGGAAGCCAGCCATCTTCCTTTCTTTGCCTTTTAGCTGACCCAGGGAGGAGAGCGTGTGTTGCTGACCACTATAGTACCAGCACAGGTCTGGGCAGCATTATCTAATTGGTATATACTACTCACAAACACCTTCCTTAGATCTTCCAAAGCCCCAGAGAAACACAGAGGCAGGATTGCTGCTCCCCATCTCCTGAACGAGACGCGAAGTGTAAGATGCCACAGTGACAGTGAGCTGGCTGGCTATGCGAGTCTCTGATTTGGCTCAGTACTCTGTCCGTCACAGTGTGGAGTGCACTGGGAGATGTCTGGGGAAAGCACTGCACTTTGTCTTTGATGCCAAAGGCCCACCTGCTCTGCTGGGCTGCCTCTGCATAATCTGTTTCCCGTTCTCCATAAACTTTCCAGCAGGAACTTAGACCCCGAGTGAGGTTCCACACTGATGCTTTTGCTAGCTGTGCCTTTGGATCACGTCTACAGAAGACCCTTTTCCTCTTTCTATTTGAAGCAAATCTAAGTATTGGCAGGAGATGGCCTTGACGCTGCTCTCCTACTGTGGTCTATTCAGGAATGTATTTGTCAATGCATCTGTATGGCTCCCAGGCCCACGAGGGCGAAGGCCAAGTTGTCTTCTTATTTTGCCTCTAAATTTAGCACCAAATTTGGCATGTGGTGTTCTGTCTCTGTCAAATCACTGACAGTTTTTAGTGGTGGGATTCTCATTCACAGG